ACATTGAGTATCTTTGAGTTGTTTCGCATGTGAATCGTCAATTCTGACGTTTTTTTTGTTGGTTTTGACATGTTTTGACAGGTTCGAAGGAGTTGAAAATGGTGCCCTCATCTATGACTACTTCTACGATGTTCAGAAAAGTGAGTGGATTCCATGGCTCGCCACTGAATCAGATGGGGTTGAAATTGGTGACAGACACATGAAACAAACATGAAACAAACATGTCAGATATCTGAATTTATGGAGATTGGCCATATTTAGTTGTGTGGAGATTGGCCTTTCAACCACAATGAATTCAATGGACTTGAGCCCAGGATGGAGACTATACCTACCTTTGAAATTCCTCGATCAGCTCGGTACGAAGAGATTGCCACCCTGTCATGCTTTGCGCTTTGCGATGCTTTGCGTATTGCATCTACACGCATCTACCAGAGACAGTTTTGTCGACCATGGTAGGCTGTACTTCGCTTGAATGTGCATTAAACATATTGATCATATTGAAGATCCGTTTTGTGAACAGCACAATACAGAGCATTGCTTATCCTAATCGTTGGCTTTATTTTGATGCCAGGTGGTGCCTTCCGTTGACTCAGTTCGCTTGGTCTATGCCTTCCAGACCCTGCGCTGAACAGAAACGGGTTTTCCGGGTGCATATGCGCTTCAAATTTCAGATGTTCACACCTTGGCCCATTGGAATTCAAGATATTCAAGGATCTTGATCACGCACGACAAGCATGTGCTTTGCCCTGGACCAACGGGTACCGGCAAGAGTCCTCTCGTCCTGTTGCTTGTTGCACTAAGACAAGAAACTCCGATCCATGGTCTTGTATTGAGACAATACATATATACATATATATACCTAGTGCATCAAAAGCCCTGCTAGGGGGGTACTTGGAGAACAGCCATCTAAAGTTGATAACGTCCATCAAAAGTGAACGTCCATCAAAAGTAAGTACCCCATATATACCCATATCTCTTGGAAACCACCTGAAATCATTTTCACAGGTCTGAGGTGAGAATCGCTCGCTTGCCTTGAGCATTTTGCTTGTTTCTACAAGGCGATGACTAAACATGGCAGGTCATGGCATCAATATTGCAAGTTCTGCACTTACGAAGCACTAAAACTATGCTATGAGCAATAGAAATTTGAGGGTTGGAAGATATTATAATTTCATTTTTGGGACCATCATTATATATGAAATTATGTATTAAATAATCCAACCATATTTTCAACTGCTCCATGTGGCAACAGCTTTGCAGCCATGCCTGTTGCTCGATCCCGGTCATCCCGCATTTGTAACTCCACCAGTCGCCCCTGACTCAGTACAAATGTGGCCATACGACAATTGAAACCACACATATATCCCATAATATTATTAGGACCCCGATCTATTTTTCTCCTGCTGAGGCCTTAGAAATGGATTTACAGGTTCGCCCTGCCCTGCCCTGCCAGCTGGGTCGCGCACTGCCTGGTGCTAACACACAGCTAGTGTCTTTGGTATGGTTTTGGGATACTTAGGTGGAAATCTCAATATTTGATAGAGGGTCATTCTTTGTAACCCGCTGCACTAGCTGAGTACGGAATGATTTGCTACTGGGTCTCGCAGTGATTGGCTCCTGGGTCCCAAAACTGTGGTTGGGGGTCCACCGTTTTGTGTGGGCACCATGCCGTCGCCGCCACGTGCGAATATGATGGCCCTGCTCAAGGATCCCTGTTAGTTGATATTGATCGATGTTTCAACTTAGCAAAATCTTCAAAATTGGTTTGGGCTAGAAGTATCAGTTAAAATAATCACCCTATCTGTGGGTCTGCAGGACTTCTATGAGCGGAAGATCCAGGATAAGAACTACATGGAGAAACGGTGGTATGAACTTTGCAAACAAAAATGCGTTCTAAGAGAGAAGATGGAAAAAAGGTTGAAATCACAACAGGCCCCCTCTCATGGTTTGTGCATGAAGATTCATATGCATTGGATTTGGAAATCAAAACTCAATTTAAAGCTTATTATGGTTTATCCGTAATTTTGAACTCCTTTGCCTTAACGTCAGGCGCCATGTAATTTCAGCTTTGTGAACCTGGACACTACTTCGGAGAAAGATGAGAAAGCCATCACTGCAGAGACTGTCCCGTCCTCATTTTTACAATTCCTTTTTGAAACTGTCTTGTACCAGCAAAGGTTCATTCCCCCGGGGTCACGCCAATGGCACTTTTTTTTGTGATTTCTATCCAGGTGGAAGAGGACAATAACTATGAGTTTTACCTGGAATGGCTTCCTACTTTCGCTGCTGACCTTCCATGGCAATCGGAGATCAAGGCTCCACTAACAATCTATTTCATTCCCACTTCATTTGGAAAGTTGTTCCCCAATACCCCCCTAGTACATCCTAGTACGGCTTATAGAATTATTGGGATATTTGCCTGAAAATGGTTTTTACCCCAAAGACTAGGTAGGCAAAAATGCAAAGTAATCCCCATGGGGGCACCGCCATTTTCAGGCAAACCAGCCTAATTTTCCAGTGCCTTCCGTGACCCCGGCTGCTTCACAGCAGCTTGCAGGCCACCCTCCTGCAGCTCCACGCCGACATGGGACCTTTGTGCCGCGGCAAAGCCAAGTTTGAGATTGAGGACAGGGACCCCTACATTAAATTTTTGACATGTCATCATCGCCAATTAACATGTTTATTTGAACTTACTACGGGCGTCAAGTCAAAAAAAAACATCATCGGTTTGCAGGATTGGGCGAGCAACGAAGCCCAAAATCAAAGGAACATTTGCTCGGCCATCATGTTTGTGTCCAGAAGGAATCAGCATGCAAGGCTTGGGCATACACATGTGTGGCCATTGGCATGTGCATATTCATGCATCCATATGTGTAATATGTACCAATATTTTTGGATACCAATATTACTTTTCACATATATATTATGGTACCACTTCTGATGATCAAAAAGTCTACAGCGGCTTGGCCAGGTCAGGCCACGCGAGGATGGAGGATCTCAAGTTCATCGTTCAGACATTGCGGGGCCACATGTGGACGAAGAAAGGCTGGTGGGCTTCGAGCCCTGGGGTTGGGGGCGACAAATTTTTGACAAATTGCAATTTTTCCCCACAAGCTAATATTATGGCACGAATCGTGCAGGAAAGAAAAGTGCAGAGGACTTGCAATCACCATCCAATGGAGATAAGACATCGGGTGAGCGCTTGCTGGAAGGTTTTTCGGCTAGCAAAGAGGAACTAGAAGAAGAGCAGGAAGAAGCTGCACATGCAGCTGCCCAAGCCACTGCCCCCGTGGTTTGCCCTGGGGATAGCCAAGTAGGAGATACCCAACCGCCAAGCCAATCCCTGCCCGAAGATGAAGAAAAAACAGTGGTTCAGTCCAAACCAAATGGTTCTACTCCAGTTGAGGTGATTCCTGATGATACCCAGCCTGATTCATCGGATAGTCAGCCGTTGCCAGAGCACTGGGAGGACAGCCAAACACCGCCCCATTGGGGAAGAGAAATGAGGTACCCTGGGACGTTGGATAGTGGTGATGAGGATGGGGGTGCACGAGCACCGGCATCTGAGGATGGGGGTGCACCAGCACCTCTGGCATGTGAGGGTGGGGGTGTGCCTGCAGAATCTCCCAAACCTTTGCCTGATGCTCCCACGCATGTGCCCCAGCCTAAGACCCCCTCTGAAGAAGAGTTGCGCCAATTAGAGCTGCAAGAGGAAAGGGCGGATCTTCAATCCGATGAGGATGAACTGAAAGGTCGTCAAGCTTTCAAGGATCGATTTTTGATATCATATTTTTGATATTTGCATAAAATCCACTGCATGCCCTTAGGAACCTTTGTCCTGGTCAAGAATATCATACATTCTAAAAGTTGTGTTCCTTGTCTGCCGGCAGGATCGAAAGCCTCTCTTCGAGCTCAGCAGCCTTCCAGATCTCGTGTATCAACACTTGGAGCAGGACATACCGGAGCTTAAGGGTGAGGAGAAAGAAAAGTGCAAGGATGTAGTTTCCAAACTCGTACTTCAGGTGCGACCACAAAATCCACATGTATTGTGCACACATGCATCCGAAACCCCAGTGTTTTTTATTGTTCCTCATTTCTACCATTTGCATGTGATCCTGCTGCAGTTGCAAAAAGATGCCCGAAAATCCATGAACGACGAGCGGAAAGAGGCAGAGGCAGAACTTAAGGCCAAGAGGGAGCAACAGGAGAGAAGGATGCAAGGTAAAGGGAAAGGTCGGGGTAAAGGGAAAGGTCGGGGTAAAGGCAGGGGCAGGGGTCGCAAGACAGCTGCAGCTGCCGCAGAAGACTTTGACTTAGATGAAGTAGAACCTGGTAAAGAAGCAGACCAAGCTGCCACTGAAGTGGTTGCGCCTGACTTGCAGCAACTGCGCTCCAAGCGGGACATGGAGGCCAGGGCCTATATAGGGGCAGAAGTGCATGAAATTTTATATTGTATTATCCCGTGCGTTTGAACACCATGTTGGAGGTTAAGATATTTACGCAATATGTATCATGTATATATGCATGCATGCGCGCGCAGGCTTCTTCTGATGATGAGATGGATGAGGTCGGGTTTATTTATTCCTCCCACTTCCTATGGTATGCAGTTCGATTATGTCTTCAAACATCGGGAGGTGGAGAAGCCCAAAAGGAAGAAACGTGCAGCCCCAAAGGAGTTAGAGTACGTACATGCATACTGACAATACTGATCACCGTCTAGCCTTTTGCAAATAATATTACCTAATACATCGATTTGATTCCTGCAGCCGCCCCAGGAGTCAGCGAAGAAGAAAGAGGCACGTTCCTACTACTTGTTAATTATTATATAGTAGCTTGGGGATGCATGTTATGGGTACGGTAGAATATAACAATATTAAAAACTATAATATGACGGCAACGTGAAAATACGCAATATCAGCACAGTAGTCCCACTTTCAGGAAGCCAGATCGAAGCAGCCAAGACAGAGATCAAAAGCTAAGGAGACGAAGGCCAGACTAACTAGGTTCTTTGCACATATGGCGGTTCACATTTTTGAGCATGTTCTGTATCTTGATTAAGATTTCGGAATCTCATTCTCAGGAGGAGGAGGGCAAGAGCCCCAGGGCTCCAAGCGCAGCAAAGGCAAAAGCCAAAGTTTCCAAGGACAGAGTGCACCTGAAGTTCTGTGCAACATTATTTAAATGATATGCATCATATTTGATTTATCACAAGGCGACAACCAATGCGGAGCCAGTCACATCAGGCATGTCGACGTCGGAGGCCATTTTTTTCAGAAAGACTCAATGTGGTATGCCTAGTATGCATGCAGCTACTGTATGTATGAGCTCTGCAGATTCGATTCTTTCAATGGAGGCAGCAGCTCCCGATGCATCCCATGGTGTTGATCAGGCACTTCTCCATTTATTGACAAATTAGACCTCGTATCCCTGCAACCGGAAACTTATAAAAAATCAACGTGATTATTTAGAGCCCGGGTCTGACAGGGGGCACAGAAAAGACGAAGACTGCGTCCTGCCGCTGACGCGGAGGTACACAACGGTGGGATGGTTTTATTAAGAGGGCAATCCTTCTAAATAGGTGGCATGGCATACGTATACACACATGTGCATATATCATCATATATCATATAATTGTTCATATTACGCACGTTATTATTCTAGAATCTTGCTTCAATACCTGTGCCCTGCCATGATAGGTGATTCCAGAACCTGAGTTAGAGAAGCCTGTTCTGGCCTCAATGCCTTCTGTAATACTTCTATGTCTGTTTTATTTAAGCTCCGATTGCTGAAAAAGTGGCCAAGGCCCCAAAGAGAAAGGCCAAAGCAAAGGTTATCATCTGAGCTATGCCCAAAGGACTTGACATATTGAACAGCTAGTTTATTTATTTTATATTGCTGGCCCAGGCAAAACCCAAGAATGATGATTCGAAGCAAAGCGAACCTGCCTCAAGCTCGAACAAGCATTGCTGTAGAAATCAAATCAAGGGTACCCCGTATCCATCCCAAGTTAGAGTTGAATTTCCTAGGCAACGGATGCAGCCAAGTCGGGACTGAACCAGGACTAGCTAATGCATATTAAGTCTGTGCATGGCTTAAACACAAACTGAAATAGAACTGATGATCGATCGGTGCAATGCATGACAAATCGTTTGTTGCCCGTTGCAGTGCAGGAGCGGAAAAATGACCAACTCTTACTCTTGACTGGAGCTACCACACTTTTCCCAGAGCTCACGCCGCCAGAAGATATTCAGGGCCGGGTGTCAGAATCTCAGTATTTATCTTGATCATCGGTTGATACTATATATATATCATTATTATTATAAAAACATGCGATTTATGCAATATATATAATATATGCAAATTATATAATATGTTATAATTTTACAGCCCTCCCGAGTATTTTCTTTTGGTGGGTTGAACCTGGCCAGCCCCAGATTCCTTCCTCAGGACTTGGGTGGTCAAGCCGCCTGAGAATGTCATGAAGAAATTGAAGCCTGAGGACAGGCCATGCAATTTGGGGGTGATCCTGAGAGGACAGTTTTACGTTTACAAAGTGGATCCTGTGACGGTGGAATCCGTGAATCGTGCCAAAGGCACAGCATTCAAGGTGGGGTATTTTCAGGGCACTTGATGCTATCGAGCACAAAACAATTTCATCTATACTTGTGCATACGCTGTTGAACTTCGAATGGTATCATAATATATTGTAATTCCTTCCCCCTGACAGGTGGATGGAAACGGAGGTGTCACCCTGACATGGAACAAGTATGGACTTGCCAGTGCTTGGGGATTCGCCCGGCTGTTGGGCACCTGGGACCATTTGTAATGGGGGCCTTGCAACAAAAATTGATGCTGGCCAAACTCAGATCGACTAGTCATGTGTGCTGGCTTGTGCTCGTGCAGATTTTACTGAAGATTATTGAAGTTCAAAAATCAAAAGATGATATAGTAATATTTATAATATATGGGACCCCGGAAAATGTTTCATCCCTGGTTTTCAATCTAGCATGAGCTCAACTGCGGCAGGGGTTGCCTTAGGCCTAGGGATTGTCAGATCCAGTCTCTGGCCTGACTTGGCGCAATACTTTTCGAGTGTGTGATATCACACAAATGTCGGATCCGTGCAAAACAAGTTCCATTGTTTTGGGGGAGGCCTTGCTTGATCAATCAATAACTTGAAGCTCAAACCACAATGCTGTACACCAAGATATTTTGATTTGCATTGAGAGCAAAGTATATTATATATCTTTTGCACTGCCACGCAACATTTGTGGCTCACATCTATTTATAGGATTCAAAAGGCCTGACGTCTGTCTCCCCGCTGCCCACGCTCATAGGATGCCCCAGCCTTCTAAGTCGCCACCTTCTTGGACTTTGAAGGGAGTGGCCTTGACGAAACGGGAGGCAGAGCTGTTGAAGATGTGGGGATGCCCCCGGGAAGTGTTGGGAACTCAGTAGTGTTCAACTCGTGGGTTTTGGTTGGACAAATTTCGACATAAAGCTGTGACCTTAATAATCCGGATAATGGCCAAAATTCAAATCAAAGATGATGTATGACGATAAGGCTCCATGCCCTCGACTTTCTGGCCCAGCAAGCTTCACCATGTCAATCCAATCGTGTCGGGCCCCAAGTTTTTCAACCGCTGGTAATTATATGTGGTATTTTTTCCCATGATGGACACAAATTCCACGCACCGATGCCCAGGATGTTTCTGTCTTGGATCTCTTTTGTGGGAAAAAGGCGATCTCGATGACATGGCGTGGGGGCGCCAAATCATCTGTAAGCCGCACCCAAAATATATAATTAATTCCGATCAACCTGCAACAGTAAATTTATAGATATACGTTCCATTGATTTACGTTATATATAATATATCGATGCATGATCATGATATATATATAATATGCAAATATTAATTTCCATGATCCAACTTTTTCCATAACTCTGCCAAGGCCAGCACGGAGAAAATGCGTCTGGCTCCAAATTCTTTTGCACACCACCTGCTTTGATGTCCTGAGCCGTGCTGGGGCCAATGAACCCCGCCCAGCGTGCTCAGGGAGCACTATGATGTGGTGGATGCTGGGGATGACAACAACATCCTTCTCACGCCTGGGTCTTATTTTTGGTCATTGATTGATATATTCGAAGTGGTCAATATTTTGGAAATAGCATTGCTTGATTCATATTCTGATCGGTTAGAATTCTTTAAATATCGATGACTATTTATTCGACGTTCCCCCCTCGAAAATACCAATGAATTTTCCCACAGCTGCTCCCCTTTCGAATTTCATCACCGCTCAGGCAGGGCTACTTGACTCTGTTGCTCATGGTGCTTAGGTTAGCCCCGGATGCCTTGGCCATGGTGGGACTGCCATGTATCTCGTATATTTTTTTGAATTCAGCTACCCATGGAAGAACACGCAGAAGGCCGTATGGTTTCGAGAACAAGTGGGCCTATGTGAAGCAAGCCAATCAGAAACTAGGAAAAAATACGTTGTAACTTTTTTGATTCGATATCTTGGGGGCAAATGGTCAAATCTTAAGTTCTTCATCCCAGGGGTTTACATGTACTTGGGGTCACTGTGTTCTCCAAAATCAAGCTATTTCCAAATTTGCAAACACGAGAGGGACGCGTAGTAGCTATCCAAAGTCAAGTTGTGGCCTCCATCGATGATGACCACTGTACTGGTGTACACGTTCTTGGTGTCCATGTCAAACCCAGTAATGAACATGCAATCGCGCGCTGTGCCCGTGAACAGCAGCAGTTGCGTCCGCCCCGATGGCCATATGCAGCTCCTCAGACGGAGCCTTATCGGCGTGCGACCAGTGCACTTCGTCCGCCAACACCAAAGTATGCTCATGCAGAGTTGAGCGCGCGCCAGCACCAGTCAATCCTGAAGATTGAATTGAATCGATGAGATAGGTTCCTTAAATTAAAAATACTATATTATTATAAATTACTTTACTTCGAGTTATCCCCACCATGACATCTATACATTTTGTTACTGGCAAATCTTCGGGCATTCTATCTGACATATCTTCTGGCATTTTATCTGGCATATCTTCTATCTGGCATATCTTCTGGCATTCTACCTGGCATATCTTCTGCAAGATGTTCTGGAAAACATTCTGGCACTTTATCTGGCATACCTTCTGGCATTCTATCTGACATTCTATCTGGCATACCTTCTGGCATTCTATCTGACATATCTTCTGGCATTTTATCTGGCATTCTATCTGGCATATCTTCTGGCATTCTACCTGGCATATCTTCTGGCATATGTTCTGGCATATCTTCTGGCACTCTATCTGGCATATATTCTGGCATTCTATCTGGCATTCTATCTGGCAAACATTCTGGCACTTTATCTGGCATACCTTCTGGCATTCGTCTATCTGACATTCTATCTGGCATACCTTCGGGCATTCTATCTGGCATATCTTCTGGCATTCTATCTGGCAAACATTCTGGCACTTTATCTCGCATATCTTCTGGCATTCTTTCTGACATTCTATCTGGCGTTCTATCTGGCATATCTTCTGGCATTCTATCGGAAGGTCCCAGGTTGAGGTCCAGCGGTGCCCAGTGCGCTCAGACCCTTCCAATTGAGGTCCAGCAGTGCCCACTGCGTACGGAAGTTGGCGAAGAGCTTGGCGAAGAGTTGGCAAGGCGGAAGTGAACATGGAAGTGGAGGCAGAGGTGGTGGAGGAGAAGGAGAAGAACAACTCTGATAAATCTAACAACCCTCACCTGGCAGGTGGTAAATTATAATTGCCTTTGCATTTGGGCTACAAATGGATTTGGAGCTGGGTTGGTAGAACCATTTCTACTCGTATCGTATACCCCATCACCCTCCATTTTCTATCAGATCATCCAATTAATTAATGCCCTTCAATCAGCTTTGAATTTGCTAAGGATCACGGTCAGAACCATTATCGTGCTGATGCTCTGTGCATGCAGGGCAGTGTATTGGTTCGTGGAACAACCAGGTTCAAGTAAGCTTCCCCTTTTCCCGGAACTGAAGCTGCTCCGCCGCTTGATGCGGGCCAGTGGAATGAAGACTTACTTTACGCGATTGTCCGGGTCTCAGTTACATAGGTCTCAGGGCAGCGTTCATAAATAAAGATTTAGCCTTTGGATTTCACTGCTGGTTTTGCTTTCGGTTATATTATATACTGATATATCATATGTATATGGTTTACAAGTTGGGGTGCCATATCATGACACGAATACCTGATAATGTAACAATGGTGTGGCAAATATGTGGCGGCATTGCTTTGTATAATATTATTATATATCCCCTCCATACTATATTATATATGGATTTTTTTTATCTCAGCGACCGCCCAGTTGGATGGCGCATTGGGGCGCACCTTCACCAAAATTGTCGATGGCCATATCTTCAGCGCACTTTCCTCAGCCACATTCCATGGGGCCAGGGAGATGCAAAGCATGGTATATCAATATATTTAATATATAATTTATATGGGAAATAATATAATATATATTATATCCAGGCTAGGGGGGTTTATATTTTTTGGGGCAAAGTATGTTTTGTCCAGAAGGCATAGTCTAGATGCATAATGGTGAACTGATAATGGTGAGGATGCGGATGCTCGATGATGATATGGTGATGGTGATGGTGATGCAGGTGATGATGATGAGGATGAAGATGATGGTGATGATGGTGGTGATGGCGATGATAGCTAGAAAAGATCTAATTAAGCTAGTTGAGAACCACTATTGATCTTGCAAAAGCCTTTGTGGCCGGCTGAGACCATACGTCAAAGAGCTGAAGAAGAAACTCACCAAGGCTGATCGGGCCAAGCTGTCTTCTGATGGAATTGCCATTGTCCGAACACTTCCAAACGGAAAGAAGACAGTGCCGCTTAGTACAAAAATTTAGCCATCATGTATCATGAAATATTCATATTCTGATCATATGGGGCACCCAAATCACAATCAATACGGAAAACGTAATTTGTATTGATATTAAAAATGTGGGCCCTGGAAGCGCGGCCAAGGAGTGGAGGACCAAAATTGCGCTCCACCCAAGTCTATCCGAAAGGATTTGCGAGGAAGTTGTATCAACTTCACAAGAAGTTGAAGGTGGGCCAGAGAAATCAGTTGCCACTAACACCAGCCAGGGAATCTCTTTCGAAATGATAGATTTGGAATTATATAAGTTTGGAATCGAAATTTGAAACCGACATGTTGATCGATGTTGTACCTAGGCCTACTTTGGTGTAAATAATTAATGACCATGCCAAACTGGCGCAGGCGAAGAAAGGATTTGAACACAAGGCCGCCGTGAACATGGCCTACAAGCACCATGCTAAGGTGAAGAAGGCTTTCGGAATCCTGGGGTCTGGATTGGTTAGTCAGAATTCATCAAAACCAATTTACCTGCCTACTTTCCCAGAAAATGGGTTCCCTGGAATTGCGACATGTTTTTTTTTTTGAAGAGCCTTAAAATCTGGCACCCTTACTCCTTCAAAGCCAAGCATCGGCAACAGGTGCACATCAAGCAATCTATTTGGACCCGAGGGCAGCTTTCTGACCTAGGAGATGAGCTCAAGGCAAAGAAGGAGGAAGGTTTGTACCAACCCATTCGCAGGTTTCCATAGCCGGGGGGAGGCCTTGAAAAAATATTGACAGTTGGATTCCCAGCTAGATAGCTAGCTATGCAGCTGCTTAATTGGCACCGGTTTTCAAAAAACCGCGCTAAGTTCTACATGTGGGCACCCTGCACCGAGTCTTCTTGAAAAAAAAATCTAAAAAATAAAATTGTTAAACATTTGTTGACACAAATTGCACGGACTATTTCCCTTTCAGTGCTTTGGGGGGGCCCATATGCAGTGCCTTTTGCATCATACCATCCGAATTGTTTACTTTCTGATTCAGCGGCCTGGGAATGGACAAAAAAATCAGGTGGTTTATCCAATGCAACGGATTTTTCCCATATCTCACCAAATTTTTGGGGATTATGTTGCTGTTGAAATTTCGAAAGCCAATAAATTGTAAAATAAACCAGAAAGGTATCGGCATCCCTCAAAAGTTGCCAATATCCACCAGAAGTTACTACCATTTTGGGTTATTTTAGTACCATCGGTGGATTTATTTTTATTTTTCCATCGTCCCATCCCAAAAAAACTAAAAATGCATCACATGTTACTGGAATTTTCTAAAATCCACCAATTTACTTCAAAATCATCAAATAAATTTTCTAAAACCACTGAAATTGAAAAAACTGCTGCCCGGGGGTAGCGTGATTTAGCGTGAAAAAGCCGTCCCACGGCGTGAAAAGCCGTCCTACGGCGTAACTTTAGCGTGATTTTGGGGTTGATCAGATTCCCATTTTCTGACCATTTTCGAAAATCTAAATGGCTCCCTGTATTTTTGATCAAACTTGTTCCCACCATTTCCTGCCCATAGATTTTGTGAAGATATTACACATTTGGCTCCAAAAAAGGATGTGGTCTCTACAATTGTGCGGTTTGCCACAAAATCTTCTTTGGAACTTTGAACCCACATTTGTTGAATAGATTTTTGAGGCTCAAATCGAAAAAAAAAACGTTTTGGTGGGTACCTCTGGCCCTTCAAAGGGCGGATCAGGGATGTCTGACCGGGCCAAAGCCGCCCTCGCCGCCGCCAAGCTTCGGACTGCGGCTGTTCTACAGAGCATGTCACAGCCTCAGAAGGAGGCTGATGCTGTGGCTAAGCTCATTTAATTCGCCATTTCCTGTTTATAAACTACGCCTAGACTTAAATCATATCAGATATTGTGTATATAATATAAGTAAGTCGTCATAGGGTGCAAATGGGAAATCACAATTACAAAAATATTTTAAAATGTTTTTAATTGTATGATTTGGGATTGCAATTCAAGCAAACGACAGGCAGGGTTCCAAACGAACACGGGAAATTTGAATGTCTCAAAATATGTTTTCTGGAACTGTTTAATTTCCCAGCTAATAAACTAACAAATAAAATTTCGGGATCCCCTATTTTGAAACATTGCTCCCCATATGATGATTAATTCCAAAATCAACTGGGCCAAACACATATAATAATATAATATATATTGGGCGGGTTCTGAAATATATATATAATATATATATGATATTAGATGATCCCTACAAATTCATTTATAAAAGCCCCTGGCCCTACCCACAAATTGCGTTCTAGAAGTCAAGCCCGTCTTTCTGAGGCCAGACTCTGGGGATGGTGGAAAGTCAAAGGCAAGTCCTAGAACTGCATCTACTACTACTCCTTCCCCGGTCCCAGCTGAAACACCTTCACTTCGAGGAGATTCATTTTTTCTTGAATTCCAGGATCCCAGCACGGCCACCCCATGGTTTGCATTGCATGTGCCATACAAGATTATGTTCATCGTGAATTCATACTTTATTTATATATATTAATTAGCATGGCATGCATACATGCATGCATGTATTCATCACAATAATACAATAATAGCATTCCCGCCGTGTGGCAGGACAAGACTCCCAGGAAACTATCCCAGCAACGCCCAGGGCGTTGGAAAAGTCTATGAACCAGGTGAAAGAAATGATGAGCAGGGAAGCGGAGCTGGAGGAACGTGAAGCCCAAGAGGGGGGTGATGTGAAAGAAGCCGCAGAAAGTGAAGACATGGAAGATGGAAACTGGAAGAATCACAACTGGTACGACCAGCAGTCATACCATGATTCCCAGCACAGTGACTACTGGCGCCATTGGAATTCTCCAGCTTGGTCATATGGGGGGTATGGCAACTCGTGGAATGGCTCCCAACACTACGGCTATTCTGCCTATGACGGATATGGATCACCAGGTGATTCCTTCCAAACCCCTCCAGCCAAAAGGTCTTTTGGCCGTGCTGATTCCTTTGCTTCTTTGGGGTCTTCTGAATGCTCAGAAAAGAGCCTCCGGAGAGCAAGTACTGTGGATCAGTTGGATGCAGAAACAAAAGGCAACATCGAGACCGCCTTGGGATTCATTCCTGACGGCCCACAAAAAGACGCGTTACTCGCATGGATGGCCCCCCCATGCTCAGTCTTCAGCTTCAGTGAGCCCTGTTCCCCAGAGTCAATTGTGGGAAGGAATGTTGCACCAGGAAACCAACCTATGGCAAAAAAGGCATTAAGCAAAGACTTGGACAGCGTCAGCACCCAGACCGGACAGAAAAACAAAGAAGCACCCAAAGAAGAAGCACTCAATGCACCAAGCACTACACCTACACCTGATGAGGCAAGCAATGAAGCACCTTCAACAGCACCAAAGCAGCCAGAAACAAACACTACACGCGATGACAAGCAAGCTGATGACGAGAAGATTGAAAGATCGCCGGCAGATGCAGAGAGCAAAGATGAAAACAAAAAAAGCAAGACACAGGAAGCCAAATCAGCGCCAGAGACAGCAGCACAGGAACAGAAGACCGAGAAGCCAACTGCAGATGCAAAGTTGGAAGCTGCAGCAGAGCCCAAGAACAATACCGACAAGACAGCACCAGCTGTGGCCAATGAAACAAAACCAGCAGCAAGCAATGCAGCCGAGGCGCCACCAGCAGCAGCAGCAGGATCAGCACCGCCAAAGCAGCCAGAGACAAACACTACACGAGATGACAAGCAAGCTGACAAGAAGGTTGAAACACCGCCGGCAGATGCAGAGAACAAAGATGAAGACGAAAAAGACAAGACAAAGGAAGCCACATCAGCGCCAGAGGCAACAGCACAGGAACAGAAGACCCAGAAGCCAACTGCAGATGCAAAGTTGGAAGCTGCAGCAGAGCCCAAGAGCAATACCGACAAGACAGCACCAGCTGTGGCCAATGAAACAAAACCAGCAGCAAGCAATGCAGCCGATGCGCCACCAGAAGCAGCAGCACCGCTAAAGCAGCCAGAGAGAAGCACTGCACCCGATGTCAAGCAAGCTGACGACGAGAAGATTGCAACACCTGCGCAGGCAGCAGATACACAGGACAGCCAAGAAGACAGTGAAAAGACAAAGGAAGATGCAATCTCTCAGAAACTGGCTAAGGCAACAAGCATCCAGGGGAAGCTTGCAGCCATGGCAGCAGCAAAGATATCACAAGAAAAGGAGGAGCAAGAGAAAGCAGCAGCATCAGCAGCAGCAAAGCGCAAAGCAAATGAAGCACAGCTCAAGGACCTTAAGCCAACAAGCAAGGCAGCAGCGAAGGCCAAGGAAGATTCCCAAGGTGAAAAACGCAAAGCAGAGGACGCACCACACGATGCTGAGGAGAAACCAAAGGCTGCAAGAGTGGCAGAGGGTCAGGACGAGGCACCAGCTCATTCAGATGATGAGGACGAGGAAACAAAGCGCTTGGAAGAGAAAAAAAAGAAAGCTCGAGCAACATACATGAGATTTTACAGATCGATGCGAGGTTTCGGTCTTAGTTTTCTTGTCCAGACTGAGAAACAAGCTGCAATGGGACAAGCATACCAACTGAGCCTGACTAGTACGAAATACATCCTTTCAACATATGTAGACATGTATTGCGCACTATGCACGGCTAAGGTAAATACGCCCCTAAGGAGGTGAAGAGCATGTGCCAGAAGGCATCAGGTCGACACTTGTCCTGCATTTCTTTGCAATCGGCGCATGGCATGCATGCTCACAAGTAAGTGCACGTACACACACGTAAAAACACAGTCGTACACCATATCGAACCAGCATATCCAACATAACATGTGCAGCGCATGCGTGCATACACCAACCATAGATTTTTGAAATTGCCAGATATCCAAATTCCCACCTTGCTGCTGCAAGGAAAAGACCTTATGTCAGTCTTGTATGAAGATTGGCATGAAGCAGGGGAGGACTGGACCAAGGCAAAAATTTACTTGCAGGTGACAAGCAAAGAGAAGCAGCAGCGGTATGGAGTGCGTGAGTGGCTTACTCGTGCACAGATGGAGCAGAAGTTCGGCATGGAAGGAGCAGAAGCGATCATTCTTCGCAAGCTTGAAGATGAGAAGCTCCGCAAGACGGAAGTCCGGATGCATCCGGAAGCTCCCACTTGCGAAGGCCTTATGCAGTTTCTGACTCTGAACATGGAAAAAGAAGTGGATAGCACGGAAACATGTGTGAATCGCCTCTACGAGGCTGCCGAACAAGCTGACAGTGACAGTTCCAGCTCAAACAGTGATGACGAGGTCAGCAGCAGCAGCAGCAGCTCAGCACCCAAAAAGAAGGGAAAGAAGAGCAAGGGTAAGAAGGAGAAGAAGAAGGGCAAGGGTGGCAAAGATAAGGCACAGCATGTGGCACAGAAGTATGGTCACGCTCAACAAATCTCAATGTACATGTTTTTTGAACAATATACCATGCATGCATGGTAGTACACCACACATTTTTATAATGAAAGTCAGGCCTGGTTTCTCTTTGTATGGGGGAGGTGGCACCAAAGAAGAAAGCTGCACCTGCCCCGAAAAAGAAGAAAGAGAAGAAGGCTAAGAAGGAAAAGAAAACCAAGCCAGCCAAGGAGGAGTCTGAGGACGAAAATGCCAAACTGCTGAAGGAGCTTTTGAAAAAAGCCAAGAAGGCGTGGCCATGCAACGCATGGCTTTCTATAAAGGTTTTGGGACTATGAAATAAAAACATCCCGCAATTTTCTGTGAACCAGAGTCCAATCTGGGGTCCCAGGCATCTTGGAAAAAATCATGGTAATGGCTCGCTCATCACCAGCTGCCTTCAGCAGGCTGTGATTTTGTCAAGGCATCGTTTGTACGCCAACAAATCTATAGGTTCATATATATATATATAATTATTGGGGTTGGGGTTTGGGGGATGGCTCAAAAAAAATGGTACCAAAGGACCAACATTGTTCACCATATAAATTGATGTACGGATGGTCGTCGCTTTTTGAACCATCATAGGAACATAAGTGTGCGAACTGCCCACAAGAACCCAGCAATCACCGGTTCTTATTGCATGGGGCACAATTATTATATTAGCGCAATCTCCCAAGATAAATTTGGTCCGGTATCAAGGAATGGTATTATATGGCTGGATGGGGGCTAGCTTTTTTCCATTGTGTTACCTAGCGTACGTTTGCAATTTGTTTCTTCTATTGTATATCTGGATATCCTTTGTATTTTAATTTATTCAAGATTCGATATTCAGGACACAGACCCCGTTGCTGCCAGGTCATTGACAATGCTGGCCGAAAGATTAAGGATGCCAAGGGTTTTGAAGAGAAAGCCCAAAATCTGTCCAAGCCCCAACTGGGTACAGTATATGCAAATAGGTTATCCCCAAATTCCCATGGTTCTCCATCATCATTTTTCCCATTCAATGGCCACTATGGAAATACGTGTTTTTTTCCGCAAGCAATTCCAATTCTCTTTGGCACTAAGTAGTACTGACTACAATGAATGGATTCATTGGTTGATAATATACAACCGGATCATACTCCCATGTTTACTGCTACATGCACCAGGTCAACATGTAATTAATCCCACTCCCCTATTTTTAAATGCGTCTCCATCGGAAATCATGGTGTATAATATGAGTTTAAAATAGGAGATCGATTTGTACATTTTGGGAGTATTCATAATTATATTAATTCATGGCTGTGTTTATTTAGGGTGATGATGGGAAATAATTTTCAGAAGACACTCTCCGGTACCCCCTTATCTATTTCAGAGATTCCATCCAGTCCGTTTGGCCCCAAGGTCCGAGAACCTCAAAGACGCCGTGCTTCGTGACATCAAATCCTCGGTGCAGTCGCTGCAGAAAGGACGAGAGGTCTTGCAGAAGGCCCTCGATGCAAACGAGGTCGGGGGTTATGAGCATCCAGGGGGTTATTTGATGAGAAACCAGAACAATATAAATTAAATTTCAACCATGCATGCATATATCCAAATTGCATATTTCATTATTTTCCATGCTTCAGGATGGCGACGCCTTGGATCCACTGGTTGACGACTTGAGCGAAAAATTGAATGAGTTTGACGTGGCAGTGAAGCCTTGCAAGGGTACCAAGGCCAAAAAGGCCAAATGATATCATAAAATGTTGGCGGCATGAAAGAGCCGAATTTTGGCAATGTCATGTGGGGCCAGTACATGGAGGATAATTACTCATTCATGCTAGCAATCAACCAACATAAAAATTGTTTTGGTTTCAATTTCCCACAGCGCCCCACGATGAACAAGATGACTTTTGGACATTGCAATTGAGATCAATTGATCAACTGAATCTTTTAAACCCAGGCATAGCTTTCGTGAAAACATAACATGTCGGACCATATTTATGGCAGAAAAGCCTGCCAGGCTTGGAAATCCAAACTAACCACTTGTTGGGTGTACCTTGTGACCCTTGTGTTTGGCTACGAAAGGGGCTCGAATGTTGGTTAAGAACATATTTAATATGCATCAATTCTTCAACCAAAGATGTTGTTATCTTATTCAGACAACAAAATACACTGCTTCATGAATTGTATAATTCTTTTGATGTACCATTTGGATTCCTGCAAAACATCATATGAATGCATGTCCGGTCATTTTCATGTTATCCAGAACCCCAGGGCCAACGATGGTCAAAGGTATTTGGGTAGAAGAAGTGGTGTTTTTCCACTAGCCTGTTATCAGTGGCCAACTTTGCTTCAGCTCCCTCGGTCCACCGGCTTGGAAAAAATAAGCCCAGGGGCGGGCATGCCAGCAGCTGGCTTGGCGCCATCACGGGATTGAGTGGCAGTGAACCCCTCATGACTGAAACTTTGGATTTTATGTGCTAATTACCCCATAGAATTACCCCATAGAACTTGGATGAACTTGGTAGATTTTGCACCCATGCAATTGCATCAATCTATGAATTCCGGGTACTTCCCAATGTTTGAATTTCATGACTTGTTTTCCCATGTTTTCCCCATTGATCTACTTCTGGGTATACACTTTGTTCAAGTTTCGGTTCGCCCAAATCCCACATTGACCAAACCATCCAAACCAAACGGGGGTATCGTATTCAAATGGTGTGAATTGATGGATTTACTTTCCCAAATACAGCTGGAGTGATTCGGCGATGAAGGGCAAGGTTGCAACCAACAAGCCCTTGGTCTTAGGAAGGGGCATCCCCGAATTGTATATAATATGTACATAATATGCATATATCATATGTGCACTATTCATTTTATTTATAAAAGATACTGATGCAATGGGTTTCTGGGATTAGATGCATGATTTTGGGATATCCATTGATGATTCCAGTATTCTAAGGGTGGACCTTTCGATACATTAGATTTGCTTCTTCTCTGGGACCCCCAAACTGTGTTTCACCGAATTATGCCAATCCCCACGCAGGTGATTCCAGTGAAGATGACCACCAAGAACATGTTGTTCGAGATGCCCAAATGAAGGTTGCTGACCAGGCTGGGGAAGGCCGCAAATTTTGACACTTGGGCACTTGACCAATCCCTGGATCGAGGATCTTTTGTGTGCTTTCATTCCACCCCAAAAAAAAATCCCCCTTGCAATTAGGCGGGAGGTGCTGGACCCCTCGATCCAGTAGAGGGCCCCAAGGTCAGGTACCAAAAAAATCTTTACTAAATCAATCTCTGCTCTACAGACGAGGTTACCTTCTACAAAATCAAGAACCTTCCACAAAAAAATCTGACAATTTTCTACAAAATCAATAGCCTCACATGAGAAAGTATCAAGAAAACATATGTTGGGTTTTTTTTTGTAGCATGAGTTTGTTTACAATTTTCACAAGTCAGTGCAAGATGTCCCAAATGGCCAGCCTTTGATTTTGTAGCATGAGTTCCTTTACTACAGAATCAAAATCTGATGGATCATATTACTACAGAATCAAGAATCTAAATTCCACATTTGATTTCCCTCTACAAAATCAAAAATCCATACATGTTGGGCAAAAAGGGTTTCAGGGGAACTATCCTTTACAGAATCAAATTCATTCCCTCTTACCATCTCTCACCACTATATAATCAAGATCTGAAGATATGACATTGAGGGGCATGCTTTACTAGAAAATCAAAGACCTTAGGGTGTCGCAAGCCTTATCTCTACAAAATCAGTTCCATGACCAAAATGTGAGGTTTTGTGCACTTCCTGCTGAGGGTTGGGGCCCCCCATTTACAGAATCATGGACCTACTAAGATACAGTCCAAACATGTCCAAAATGGATGGCTTTTGCGTGCTTGCCAGCCCAGGTTTTTGATTTTGTAGCAAAGTAGGGGTGCAGGATGGCTCTCCACAATCGAAGGTTTTTGGGGTGCCAACACCCTCGATTCTGTAGAGGAAATTGCAACAAAGATTTTAAAAAAATATAGTACTTCCAACAACCATCCTACTCGGGGCCATTACCTAAAAGCCACGCCTAGAGATCAGTACTAGACTATGATGTCGATATCTCATTACTCGTAGGTGTAAGGTGCTGCATGTTCATGGGTGTACGTCTCACCTTTGCGAAAGGCAGCCAGTGTGCGATCCGTGATGTCTTCTGTTCGTGCCAGTGCACAGGCGCATGTGAGGGAAGATGATTTATTTAGGATATATCCAGTATCGAATATTCATGCACGAAGTCAATACTTTGCACATTTCTATTTATGGTCAGTGGCTAGCATTGGAACTCACTTATCACATAGCTTGACTTGATAGATTAGCACTGGGTACCCATACTTGTGACTGCATGCCCTCCGTGACAGGACTCCAGAGCAAACTCCAAACGCGCTCCATCCAAGACTGGGAAGCTTGGGCGGGCGAGTAAGTCACGTGGTGATGCCAATTGTCAAAGAGATTTTTGGCGATTCTGCAAATTGCCATTGGAACCTAAGCCATCAACTTTCCAGTCTATGTCAATTTTCTATGTTTGTTATTTTTCGCGTGCTGTTTTTTTTTTGTGGAGCTACTTTAAAAATGCGCGCGCAGGTACGGTTTACGAACATGATTGATCATTCATGGGGAAAAAAAAATTAGACCACTAAGAAAGAAACACAACACTTTCGGGGTTTTGAGACACCCTGCGCACAGGAGCCGCGCTATGTTGAAGTGCCTGTGGTGGATCTAGCAGAAGAGACCTGTGTGACCACTACGAAACTACCAATGCTAGACGTGCATGATGTACTGGCCTACGTCCACGATGTTGCGAAGTTAAGGACGCCAGCTTCCCACATAGAAATGTACTGGAACTGGGGTAGGAGATTTGGGGCCCCCTGGGCAAAGTTGGGTGGATCATCTGTTATTCCGTGTGGCCTGTATGCAGATGAGACGAGATATGGAGGGTCATATTCTGATGACAAAGTTCTTGGGGTATTCCTGAACTTAGTGCTACATCGACCTCGCAGTATCAGATATAGTCGCTTCTGCATCTTTGCTGTGCGGTCAGCGCTTGTGCTAGGGAATCGCACACTATATCCTATCTTCAGAAGGATTGTGTGGGGCTTCCACTTGGCGTTCAGGGGAGTGCGCCCTGACGGCTTGCCTCTTTGCTCTGATGGCTCAACATTTCTGTGCACGGAACTCCGGGGAGATCTAGGTTGGCACAAGTTGATTTGGAACTTCAAGGCTGGGTGGCAAGCCAAAGAAGTTTGTTGGTTTTGCAAAGCAAAGAAAGACAACTACACTGACAAACACTCTTGGATTGACACTGTATATGACGAAACCTGGTCCTGGGTGATGGAGACCTTACCGGACCACCTTTGCCCTCTTCTTGCCCTACCGGGGTTTTGCATCGAAACCCTCCGACTATGCTCAATGCATAATGTCAACCTAGGGTGCCTCCAAGTTTGCAACGGTTCTGCCTTGAGCTTCGATAACATCAATCGCTTTTATCTTCTATTTATAAATGCATGTTTCAAGTTGGCATACCTGGGATGCTAATTGCCAATTTTTCGAATTTGGCAGCCCTTAGCCCCAAGGATCTCTTTAATTCAAGCTGGTCTTTATGGAGATCCTGAAGAAAGCCTCGCTTTGAATTTGCGGCGCACTTTTCGCGACTTTCAGCTGTGGTGTAGAGAAAACAAGGTTCAGTGCTCACAGGTGCCTTGGACCACCGGGATGGTGCCTCGGCTTATTTTGGGCTGGATTTTTTGGTACATGTGCTTGGGTGTATTGTGACATGGTGTTATAGGGGCAGAGGGGTTTCATGCACAGGTGGTGAAAAAAAATCGCAACGTGCTCATGAGCCACAAAGCTTTCAATGGGCGCATTATTGTAGAGTACTTGGCAGAGTGTTGTGAGCGGGTCGTTGATCAGAATTTGCCTGGGAACAACCGTGCATTTGGGCAATGGTTGTGCGAGCAAGTACTTCAGGGCAAGAGGGAATGGCCAACGCCATCAAACCCTGAATTTGGTTTGGCTGCAGCATGTTTGTCCTCTACTTGAGCTTAGGGTAAATTTGTGTGTGTGTGCTGGGCATATTTTTTGGTTAATTTTGGGTTGCTTAGCCCATGTATTGTTTGCACTGTCACATACCCCAATTGGGAACTGAGGAAATCGATTGCTCGATGGTTCAACTTGTGTGAAAGGAATGGCCGATACTTGCTACTTGTTTGAAATCACCAGATATATAATTTTTATATAGCTATTTTTAGTACAGTTTTTCCCCACCAACCGTCAACCTTCAGACCCATGTTAATTCATGTACATTCCATTGCAACATACTGAGGACAGCCGAGGCGGCCAAGGACATCGGGGATGCTGGAAAGCAGTTCATCGATTCGCACCTTCTGCTGTCGCTTCTTGAGATGAGGAGCTGGGTCAAGGCGTCAAAACTTCTAACAACATGTACCTGGATGTATACATGATGATGTATGTACTGTGTATTTTTGCGACTGCAACCCTTCAATCAATTATGACCAGAGTTTATAGACTTACAATCGGTTGGACCCTTCCTAGAGGAGACTGCATGGACAAGGTGGTCCACCCAACCCACAACGAGTTGTCAAATGGATTTGCAAACCGAAAATTCACTACTTTGACCACCAACTACTTCTGATGGCACTTCGCCGGCAGAACATTCGCCATACACATTGTTTTACTGATGAAGATGCCATGCGGTGGCTGAAGAACATCAGTAGACGAACCTTTGGAAGTAATTTTGAACGAAAGGTGCTTGCAGCTTCAAGACTACGGCTCAAATTGACCATTTTCAAAGCGCGGAACTTGAATCGTACCGCTGCACGCAGGAGCAAGCGATAAAAAGGATTGCAAAGCAAGTCCCCAAACTAATCTGAAAAACAAAGATCGGTTGCTCTGATTGTGCAACTGCGCTGTGTGCGTGTGGGTGTATGTGTGTGAAGCACGCATACGTGCCCCCAAAATGGGGGAAGGGTGTGCACCTGATGCCTGGGTGTGCAAAGTATCTTACATGGTTTCGCTGACCAACGGGGTTGAACAAAAAGGCCAAGAGATGCCAAGAGGCTGTGTGCGCGAGGGGATGGGCTTTGTGACCATCTTTTAATCCAATTTGGATGTTGTTGAGGGGAGATGCTTAAGAATTACCAAACATCGAGCATATCATATGGGAATTTGCATGTTGTTGAGGGGAGATGTTCAACAATCATCAAACATCGAGCATATCATATGGGAATTCTTTGATGTTGCAGGTGCTGAACTCATTTTGCAAGTTTGGTGGTAAAGACCATGAATAACTTAAGATGGCTTTTAGCCAACGTACTGCTCCAGGCGTGGCTGTTAGCTAACGGCCCCGAGTAGCATGGCTGTTGGATGTACTAGGTATATATCAATATATACATATATATGTATATATATATATATATTAATTTATATATATTAATAATATTAATCTACATATATATATATATATATATATATATTTGTTAATTTATATATATTAATAATATTAATTTACATATATATATATATATATATGTATCTATCTATAATCTGTATACATATATATATATATAATAATATATATATGGGGGATTTCCATAAATGGGGCTACCCAAAAATGGATGGCTTAAAAAGGAAAATCCCCAACCACCAGGAATGCACCGGTCCAGCGCCTTCATCATTGAGATGGCCACGGCGTAGCCCTGCTGCGTCTTGGAGACCGCTTCAGACTCGGAAAAACTCTGCGGCAAACGGGGATGTGTTCGAAACAAAACACATGGAGTGGACAGTTTAACCAACATGTTGCCTTCTTAGTTTTGTTTACAGTTTTTTGTGACGCACAGTTTAGATAACAAACAGTTTAACAGTTTACACTCCAACAAATTAAACATGGAACCGCAGAATAGCCACATCGTATGCAGTAAACATGATCCAACAACATCCAAAGAGCATGTTAGCAGGTCCATGTTGAATTTAGGGGCTACAACCAGCGGACCTGAACGAATCATAGCTATGAATGGATTGACTCAATTGTGAGGGACAACCTACAAAAAACATCAATAAACTATGGATCTACCAACAAAATATGGGAGGTCTTATAAACGTTCCTTCCAAGTCTGGGAGAGAAACGGACAGGAACGATCTGATGCTGGGTCTGAAGGAATATCAAGATTTACATAAACGTGAACAAACAAACATGCGGACAAACAAAACATCTAATATATTCTAATATGTATTGATATGCAAATCGATGGATTTGTCCCTCCATATATAATAATCGTATAAACATGTCTTTTTACATCTACCATCTGGTTATTTAACATAGCCATGGAACATCACCATTTTTAATAGGTAAACCATCTATAAATAGGCAATTTTCCATGGCTATGTTAAATTACCAGAGGGTAAGATCTTGGGAACAGACTGGTCAGCTATTGCTCTGTCATGGAATTTTAGGAGGTACAAGTACCCCTCATGTATTGACCGACCCATACCCTGTTATCACCATGCAAACGGTGGTTTGGTGATCCCTGAAAAAAACAACTTTACAAAAACTGGGCAAATTTTGGAGAATCTGTTGATAACCCGACCCGACAAAAATGTGACAATTATCTGGTTGGTGGTATACCTACCCGGACCTACCCCTCTGAGAAAAAAAACAAATCGTCAGTTGGGATGATGAAATTCCCAACTGAATGGAAAGTCATAAAATTCCATGGTTCCAGTCACCAATCAGTTAATAATCCCACGTTAATTATCCCACTATTACCCTATTATCCACTATTACCCTCTGGTAAACTAACATAACTATGGAAAATCACCATTTTTAATGGGTAAATCCAATATAAATGGCCATTTTCAATAGCTATGGGTAACCATTATTAATGATAGGTATTGACTGCTGCTGCGCATTCTCTGAAACTTGGTCAAGTCCCCGTGAGATGACTCAGCTTTGTAGCGCAAAGCCATCCATTTCTATTGACAAAACCCACCGTATTGTTGGTTATATGATGGTTTATCTCCCAACCCGCATTGCCAATCATGATCAATCATGTGCCGTTGTTTCTGTATTCACTGTATTCTGATCCCGGAGATGTTGGAATTATCAGAATCAAATGATTGTTCCTGGCATTTTTTTTCGCACTCATGCTAGACCTGGTCCTTCTTCTCTGCGTTTTCTTTCGAATGTTGATCAAGTCATGGGTCGATCCATCCATTCAACGTGAATCGTGGTGACTGGGTGACCAAAAAAATGGTTGTGAAAGTAGAACCAACTACAACCATCCAACGATGGATACAAACCCATAAATCCATTACACATGATTCATAACAATCGAAATCATAATCAACCCAGGTTGACTGAACAATATATATATATATATACATCTATATGTGAATTTATGTGACATATATATATATATATATACACTATACTTATTGTCAAATCGTGAAAACTGAAAATTTATCCGTACAGACATACATAGGGGGGGATAAGTATTTCATATATAAATATTCAAAATTATATGTAGAAAATGTGTCTTTTTCACGATAAAATCATTGTATCTCAGCAGAACAGATTACATATACATACCACTGTAATTACACATTGTGTTACATGTATAATTATGTATATTATATAAAATATGGAGGTGTCCTGTTTTTTGGGGCTACCCCCAAATCCACTTGGGCGGATTTTCCAAAACAAAAACCATCCATTCGGGGATCCGCTGCACCGAAAAAACATCCCAAGTCACCATGGCGACTTGCTCTCCCTTCACCGCCACCAGGGCATAGCTCCCGCGGAAGGACAAGTCTGGCGGGCTGCACCGTGGAGCCATTGGCAAATGCGGATTTCATCACCAAAAATCATGGGAAAACTGTGAATTCACCGTCAAAGATATGGGAAAATATGGGAACACATGGGGATTGAACCCCTAAAATTAGGATGATTTAGCTATCGGCAACCACAAAAAGGATGTAGACAAATCAACAATGAGAAACCATCAGGATTTATCATGATTTAACCAAGAAAAATGATCTATAGTTGATTTATGATAGTTTTCGTTTGTTAACTAGGCTAATGAAGGTTGTGGCGCGTGCCATTTATAGTTAGATGCTGGTGGAGATCAAATTCTACTTGGGGGCCATCTGAATATAGGATCAGAACTAACAACCATGGCAGGGACATGTTTGGGGGTATCACTGAAAAAAAAGTACGGATACTTGGAGGATCAATCGCAGTCGATCAAGTTAGTCAGTCTTTGGCCAGTAAACCGTTATGTTTCATTCCTGTTCACTGCGAAGCCTATCCAACTCATTTTCAGTAACTGTTCGATAGTGTTTGTTAGTAAATATGCGACTCTCCGAATCATCAGACTATCCCACATTGACTAAGAGGCTATACCCATGATGACTAACAAGTTGCACTGTTGCAGATCTGAACTAGCAGCAGCAGCAGCAGGAGGCGAAATAGTATGTGAAATTTGAAATTAACAGTATTCAAAAAATATCTGTCACATCACGCACGTGACACAATGTAATCTATTTTGATAAAAAACATGTGTATAGTTACATCTATATAGTTCTATGTATATAAATATACATATATATACATATATATGTATATATCTGTGTGTGCATGTCAACTTTTCAGATTTATATTTTATATGTGTATATTATATGGTTGCAACCGAAAGTAGTGCATACCCCTACATGGTAGTTTTAAGACAGAACAAAACACATGATGTTCAGCATCAAATTGAACGATATTATGCTCAACGGATTGGTGTTCACGGGAAAATTGAAACCGGAAAAAAACCATATCTAATGCTGGTTGGTGGTTTCAACCCCTCTGAAAAATATTAGTCAGTTGGGATTATTATTCCCAATATATGGCACAATAAAATTCATGTTCCAAACCACCAACCAGCCCCATATCATCCATATGTAATGGGAAAATCTGTAGTTTCCGGTGAAAAAAAATCCGTGAAAAATCCATGAAGCTATACATGGCATGGCGCCACATGGCCACCTTGGCATGGCGCCACAACCATGGCCGGCAACGACGGCACGGCCCGACCCGGTCACCGACCTCGGATCTTCGTGGCGCCCAGATGTTCCAAAGCGCTGATCGCAGTGCTGGTCAGATTACTGGACGCCTCTCGGATCCGTTGGATCCGTTGGATCCGTTGGACGATTAAGCGATTGGGGCTTCGGGGCTTCGAGGCATTGGTAAAACGGAAAAGTTATTTTAATAACCAACAATCGTTTAACTTAGATTATACAACAGTTTATAGTTTATGCCAATAAAATAATGATGTTTTGTAATTAGTTTCTTGTTGGTTTATAGTGAAGAAGCATACATATCATAAATTATGGGAAATTGTAATTTAATATTTCACTAGGGTGTATGATAGATACTCATCGAAGTAGGTAATGGGGATCTCAAACCAACAAGCACTAAATCCGATGCCTCATTTCAATCCCAAATCCAGTCATATCCACTAGATCTCAACCATTTTTCTAGTGGATAACCAATTAGTTTAACCAACAAAAATGGTGGTATACCACCAAGAAATATTTAGATCTAGCTGATCTAACCTCCCACAAACATCTGGGTAAATCATTAAATATTTCACTAAACTGAATAGTTCGGCCATTTGGGGATGATTTCCCTTACCAGATACCAGCATTTTTGTTGGGGAAACTCCGCCACCAGCCACCCCGCTGCTGCGCGTCCGCACCTCATCCCGCGCGCCAATGAGCACCAGAGTGCCATCCTCGATGCTGTTGACATAGGCCGCAAGGGCGTCCTAAGTCGGGATCTGGTGCTGGAACCACTTTCTCCGGAAAAGAAGGTGGCTTACCCTCTGGTAAACCAACAAAAAGCTATTGAAAATGGCCATTGAAATAGTGGATTTACCCATTGAAAATGATGATTTTCCATAGTTATGTCAGTTCACCAGAGGGTAATCCTGTTGACTTGTTGCAAAACATCTGTGAATGATATGTGTTTTGTGGATGAATCATGGTATTTCTCTGACCTGAAATAAGGATCACTAAGGCAATGTTGGGAAATAGTTACCCTTCTTTAGACATGACACTTGAAAACTTGAGGTCCAACACTATGATGCTGGGATGACTTTGATACCCTCTGGTAATCAAACATGCCTTGCTGGAAAGTCCCCATTAGTTCCATAACTTTCTCATTGAAACGCCGATCTTTATAGTATTTCCAGCCAACCATATTTGAATACAAATTGATTTCAAAGGCCGACAAATCGATTGAATGCTGAGCACATGAAGAACCAGGTTGGAAAATGACGATTAAAACCAGCAACAATTGTGATTTTAGCATGAATTAACCATCACAGCTGGGCTGGCAAAACTTGGTAAATCTGGGAACATCGTTTTTCTGGGAAAATGTAAATCATCTACTTTTTTTTTAAATGGGGATAAAAAGAGCCTCTTTTTTTTTGTCCATCAGTGGCTTTTGACGACAAATCATGGGGATTCTTGGGTCTAAGCCATGTTGGATTCCGCGAAGGTGGAAAATCAACCCACCAATTCATCTGTGGTTGATCATCACAAGCCAAAAATGATGCACAAACCAACCACCGTGATGAACCGTGATGAATCCAGTTAAATCTAACACTGCTGGGCGACTCCTCAAATCTCCTTGTTGCGTGAATCCAATTCGGTAATGTCAAATTACCTATGAATTATCATATGACTGCAGAGGATGAACATCCAATCACCATGTTTGGTGTTCACCAGGGGTACAGGGGCTAGTTGTAGACCAACTCAGCTATCCATGGAATCCATGGAGCACTGCTTTGCACCCAACTTCACCCAATGAAATCTTTATCGATTCAGCTTCCAATCCAAGTATGGAGCTCAACATTGACGTATAAGAACCAACCTCAACCACCATCATCTTTCACTTGGTTTCACCAAACGAATTTCATTTTTGAGAATTGATGTGAATGTTAACAGGGTTTCTGTATCCCTATCATCGGTTCAAAACATTTCAAGCCACAGGGAGGCCCTCCCAAGTTAGGCCCTTTGGTTTGTAAACCCCGTCAAAATAACCTTACAGGAGATATATCCACCATGAATCAAATCCTAGTGAAATAACTAGTGGAGTAAGGCAACAAACGCGGATCCTAACTAGGGGCCTTCAAAACCTTGCTTTCCTGCAAGTAATTCTTATATTCTTACTATATTGGGAGAATCATGGATAATCCAATATTCATGACCACAACTAATTCCCCATTATACCCCCATTGCATTGCATACTATATACACCAATAAAATTGTTGGGTACCACCTGGTAATTTCATATATATATATATAATGATGGAACATATTAGAAAAAATATGATCTTGTCAACCAAATTGGCCATACTTGCATCTATTTGCATCATCTATTTGCCAGATTTGCCGTGACGCACCATAGCCATGTGTATAGCCTTGAGGGTACGTTCCCACCATCCCAGCATGGCAGCCCCAGTATCTGAACCGTCTCCCATGGTGTCGAAGGTGGCCTTATCCAAAGCGTCAGAGAAAGATTTTAACCACCAGAAATGAGGATTTCCTTCGCAGAAATCCAAATTTAAGATGATTTCAAAGGGCTTAAAGAATAAACATATGGCGATTAGCAGACATGGTGATTTTTACCGGCACATAATCCGATTCGACCGGCAAATAAATAGGATTCCACCAAACACATTAAACAAAAAGATTTGTTGGGTTTCACTCAGACACATATGTATATATATATATATCTATACAACCGGAAGAATGGGGACTGAAACAACCAAACTTCAGGAAAATTGGAATCAGATCCTTGGTACCCAAGTGAGGTTTCAATTCATAGCTGGGAATTATGCCTGTTCCTGTGACATATTAGGTGCAATAGGCAATAGATTTAAAATGATTTAAACCCCCAAAAAAAGAAAACGAAGTGCAGCAATAACGATAAGACTGTACTTAAAGGTAAAAACAGGAGTTCGACCAAATAACCAGGATAATTCGACCAAAAAGTGTGGTTGGTTGGATTTGCAAAAGTTCTCAAATCCAGGATGTCTAAAGGTACCGTCCAGTTGGATAAACATGTGGAGACACAACTGACTGATGAATTTTGGCATGCCCTGCCGATACCCAACTTCTTGAAGTTGCTTGCTGATCCGAATGAAACAAGGTGGATGTTTCTTCTTCTCACTCAAAACAAAAGTCAATTCTCCTAATCTTCAAGTAGGAACATCTTCCCTTAGTTTCAAGAGTTGTTCCAAATATATAGCATGAAATCCGTCAACTGTGATTTTCACCATCATTTCCCGCCAAAAATCTGTTTAAAATTTCATTTTTGATGAAACTGCGCATCAAATCATAAAACCGAAGTGGAACATTTCCTAAGTCATGGGGGTACCCTTAAATCGTCCCTTTTAGTATAGGATTTTCCATGAAATAAACGAACCAAATTTTGGGGGATCCCCCATTTATCTGGGTAAATTATAATATTTCACTAACCTGAATTAAGGCCCACATACTTTGCAATCGGCCCTCGCTGGATTTGGGATGATTTCCCTTATTAACCATGATTCCAGGGTTCGGTCGCAGTGAGGTCGTTACAATTTACCCAGATTTATGGACACCGGTTTGGTATACCATCTATCATCATAGAAACCTGTTGTTAAAGGGGTTTCTTCAAACCCCTCTATCAATCAACCAGCCAATGGGAATTTGGGACATCTATGGTTGCAGTATACCGTATATGATCCATGATTGGATTTATAACAATGGGTGTTATATATATATACGTATGTATATATATCCATATGATCAGATAGCACCCAATGGATTCGGATTTATATATTTATATAATCCCTTCCTCCTAATACTAAACCCCCCCCCCTAATACAAAACACGGCAGGTAGTTTTTAGTATTAGGGGGGTATTTATTATTAGGGAACCAAATCGAAGTCATGTTAATTAATTAATTAAATTTCCTTATATAACGCAATTAAAATATTGCCAAAAATGGCAGTTCGAAGCTTACCCCTAATACTAAATTAAAACCCTTAATACTAAAAACTATTTTTTCCGATCTCAAAATCAATTAAATTTCTTTATATAACGCAATTAAAATATTGCCAAAAATGGCAGTTCGAAGCTTACCCCTAATACTAAATTAAAACCCTTAATACTAAAAACTTTTTTTTCCGATCTCAAAATCAATTAAATTTCCTTATATAACGCAATTAAAATATTGCCAAAAATGGCAGTTCGAAGCTTACCCCTAATACTAAATTAAAACCCTTAATACTAAAAACTATTTTTTCCGATCTCAAAATCAATTAAATTTCTTTATATAACGCAATTAAAATATTGCCAAAAATGGCAGTTCGAAGCTTACCCCTAATACTAAATTAAAACCCTTAATACTAAAAACTATTTTTTACGATCTCAAAATCAATTAAATTTCCTTATATAACGCAATTAAAATATTGCCAAAAATGGCAGTTAGAAGCTTACCCCTAATTGCTAGAGTAGCTAGGCAGCTTGGAGTGAGGGATTGGGACTAGGCCCCCCTAATACTAAACACCCCGGGGTGAACTAGTTTTTAGTATTAGGGGGGAGAACCCACAAATGGTAGGTTGATTTTTAAATTGTTTTTTAAAGGGGATCAATTAAAAGTCAAATTGGCCAAACTGAAATTTTCGGAAATTGGAGATGGATGCCTGTTTTTAGTATTAGGGGGACGTTTAGTATTAGGAGGAAGGGATTATTCATGGACACCCCCCAAATGTTTGCGGGTAAATCATCATAAATCATCTATAAATGGAATAAATGGATCATTTTCCATAGCAAAGTGTTAAAAAACCAGAGGCTATTGATGGTCATCCGAATGGCAAATCTGTTGAGCCACCGAATCTTTGCGCGTTCCATCCTGGCGCAGCGTCAGGACCGTCAAGCCGCGACTGGGCCTAAACGCACAAGCGCGCGCGCGTTTTTTGGTGGGACACAGCGGATTGAAATTTTGCAGAAAATGGGAAGTTTATCATCAAACATATGGATATCATCAGATTTTATGGATCTTTCGTGATGTTTCATGGGATTTAAAGCCACTGCATATGTTTTTTGGGTTTGTCTGAAACTAGAGTACTGTACCCCAAAAACTGTTGGTTAGTCAGTTCGTTGTATTCCCATTAACACTTTGCTCTTTGATGGGTATACCCTATTTTCAGTCAGACCTAAATTGTATTCAAATGTCATGAAATAACCAAAAATGATATCCTATGAATGAAATTATAGTATATAGATTGATGTTCCAGTGATCTTTCCAATGAGTAATGTCCTAGTAGCTACTAAACAAGGTGATGATGGGCAATCAATATCCTAATTATGATTGGAGAATTATAGCTATGTATACTCCCTTCCCCCATCCCAATCTGGAACTGCCAATCATCAATTCATGAACAGATCCAAAATTAAACCACAGTGGCCAAGGTCGTATTCAATATTTTAGGGCTAACGGATTACCCTCTGGTAATTTAACATAACCATTGAAAATTGCCATTTAGTTCGTTGATTTAGCCATTAAAAATTGTGATTTACCATAGTTATGTAAACGTTTACCAGAGGGTAAATGGGTTTCATATCAAAAAAATAGTGATGCCATCACATTCCTATACATTTCTTACAACTAATATTTTCCCAATGTACCCACCATGTTTTTTTTCCACAACATGGTTGCAACCAAAGGTGACCTGGAAAAATGATGGCGAGGAATTCACAGGCGTTTACTAATTATGTAACATATATATATATATATACAGCCTGTATGTATTCTATATATATATAATATGTATATTTATACTAATTCACAGGTGAGGGATTATATATTTAAATATACCATATTCATATATCATCTTGTCAATGGTTGCGAATCGGCCTAAAAATAACCTCCATCAACAGGTATACAAAAGGGTATACGTATACCAAACATCCTTGTGAATTATATAGTTGTAAATCAACGTAACTAACATATGAATAGATATAAATCACTTATCAATCACATATCAATCACTATTTATCTTGGGTGACATCTTCTTTTCCCGAGATTATTTGATACATACTGTCAATTTCAATGTTCCATTTGTTCCGCATATGAGGGTTTCTTAGGGGATTTTCAAGTCACCATGCGTTACATATATATTCTCTCAACATATCACTATCCATATCCGATTATTTAGCCCTGTGAATTACCATCCATATATGTGGCAATAATATGGTAATACATATACATATAAATATATTGTATGTATATATAATATATATATATATGTATATGTACATATATGGCAATAACTATCTACTATCCATAAATATATAATATCATGATGGATATATATATATATATATAATATCCGTTATGTTTCAGTCTTTTGTGCCGTTGTGCCACGGACGTTCTGCCGTGCCACGCGCGGTAGAACTCCACGCCATTGGCATAGAAGACCGCTTCGTTGCCGTCCGCGTAGCCGGCGCTGCGCCTAGGCATCCAGGGATACAGAAATGTAAACATAGAGATTCAGAAATATACATATTATAGATATTACATAGATATGAGATATCGATAGGAAATATAATATACACATATAATTAGATATAGATTGTATGTATAATTATGGATAGACGATAAATGTTCCCGTCATTTTCTTCCTAGATAAAATAAGTGTAAACATCGAGTTGGTGATTTGAAACCCAGGGATGCAAACGTAACAAGTGCATAGACTAGCAACCAGTCTTGGATCCGTTCTGCTTGGATCCATTCCTTTTTGTTGTCGAAGCCCATAGTCAAAACATTCGAACACATATATTCTATTGTATTATAATGGTTGAAATTCTTAGTTTTAACTACAGACATGTACAAACCGTGTCATTCCATCTCGCTCAGTTTACTTTGCCCTTTGCAGCGACAAATCTCCAAGCATGTACCTGGAGGTTTCCTCAGCAAATACCCAGTTCTTCTTGTTCAAATCTTGGATTTTGATGGTTTATGTCCAAAAACAACCCAAAAGGTCGGTCTCTGGCGCCAAGTGGGATAGTTTCCAGCTAATTTCAAATCGACCCTCCAAAAAATCACCAAGTGTCAAGGCTTTGAGAGGGCTTGGTTCAATATCCATAACAATGAGCAACTATGTGGATATCATGTATTGATGGATATCTTGGGGCATGGCACATACTGTAGTTGATATGATAAGGTTGAATGTCCATGTATTGGTACGAAATTTTCATCAATCTTGATATCATAAATCCAACTTAGGCTGGCCGCTTCAATGCAGCTGCAGGGCGACCACTGGCTGGCCGCTTCATAGGTTTTCTACCCTAGCCACTTTCCAATCTTTAGGCCAAATGCTATGGCCATAAATTGGCATCAACTCCAAACTCCCTGGTTGAGCAAACCTCCACGGTTGAATGAAGTACTTTATATATATATAATGTATATTAATACAATATATACAATATAAACACAAAACGTCTAAACGCAGAAGAACTTATCCTAAATTATTAGTGATTCAATTCCCATTTTCTCATGTTTCATGGTTAAATCTCCATGTTCGCATTGGGAAGCCATTCTGAAAACCTTCAGTCGCTCCCTATGTCGTATCATTTTGGGTACGCCAAAGCTTATGCCATGCTTATGCGCGTAGAGTTTTTCCTTACGTGAAGCAAATTGAGGAAACCCGAAAACGCGAAGTCCTTACGCGGCCAAGGCCGCAAGTGAGGCTTTTGCTTACGCCAAACACGAAAAATGACAAGGCCCTGAAAATGTAAAGGGAGGTTTTTAGAGTTGCTCAAATAGATTCATTGTCAAATCACCATTTTCCCACATTTTTCTTGGTTAAATTCCAAGTTTCAACTGGTCACCGGCGCCGAGGCACACGCCCACGTTCGCCATGTCCTTCTCGGCGGCTCGACAACACACCGCGCTGTCCTCGCTTCGCAACGTCCTGCAGATTGTGGATGGAAGAAACGGAAAAAATGTGGATAAACAATCATAAACCACCCATTTGGGAATGGTTTATACCAACTATTTATGATGAAATCAATCATATGGAGGTTTCCAAAAATAGATGGTTTTATAGTGGAAAATCCAAAAATAAAATTGATGATTTACGGGTACTCCCATTTTAGGAAACATCCATATCTATTATAGTAGGTGTGTCCCATTTATTCACTGGGGTTAGAGACTTTATTATGATTTATCAGTGGAATTAGCAGTTGATTGATGATAAACATCCCATTATAGGCTTTCAACCATCCTTTTGGTGGTGCAGGATTTCGCAACCATCTAGAGCACCACATGTTTTAAAAGATATCTTATACTTATCTAATACCTTTTGCGTTAAAAGATAGGACCATATTTTGGGAACAGCAAGTTTTTTTGTGCATCGTTATAGATATCAATAGTAAAATATGCTGGATGATGGTATATCTATTCTATGATATTTTCCATATACCATATACCATATATCAATGCATATGATGATGGATATTGTATATGGCCGGTGCTGTTGCAGTATATGGAGACCATTGGGAAGCTATAGTCAATGGGGAAAATCATGACATCGGAAGTCGTGGAAGCTCTTGTCGCCATGGGCGCAATGCATTTCCCCGAATTTTAAACCTGGTTGGTGGTTTTAACCATATATTATGGAAAATAAAACATGTTTGAAACCACCAACCAGAAACACTCCCTAAATGGTCCGGCTGTTTCATATGTGAGGAGTGAGGATATGTGAGGGGGAAGAGATTGATGATCTACCAGTCTACCAGTCCATGGCTTCCATGGTGTTTCCAAACCTGATAAGTCCCAGGAATGGTGGACCCCCCTATAAGGAGACCCCCCAAAATTAACAGATCGACTATGAAATCTAGGAAACGAAGGTTTCTGGGTGTGTCTATGGCAAAGTGAAGCACCTGTGGCTATGAACCTTTGAACAATGAGGATGCTCACTGTTTCGCCAATAATTTAGGGGTTTCTTATAACTGGTCTTATTTCACCAATTAAAATGGGAAAACCCTAAAGACAGTGGAGGCTATTAGCCAATACTAGCAGATGGACATGCGTTGGTTAGTAGGATATGAATGGATATGACAACAGTTGTAAATTACAACATTCCCTCATTGGGGGACAACGTTCATTTGCAAATGTGGCAATGATTGTCTGATGCAATCAACAACAATGTGATGGATGCTGGATGAAAAGCAAGAAGATTCTGCCCAACCAAATTTCAGATAATTCTCCAGCAAGCACAGGGGGATGATGGGGGATATCACATAACATTTGTTTCACTGAACAAAGTCGCAACGATCCCAGAGTCAGGTTCCTAAATGGTTGTTGATCTGGTTTTTCACCCAAGAAATCAACATCATAACCTGCTGGTAACCCCGAAGAAAACCACGAAAGTATATTTTCAGGATGGTTCGATGATGTTTTCTCCATATGTCCAGGTTTTGAAGTTGGAAAATCCCAGATGGAATTCACTGAAATGATGGTACCCAAAAAAATGATGGATTTTGATTATCCCCATATAAAAAAAAAAACACATTCAAATTGAAATAAATTGAAATAACTCCGGTGTTTCCTGGGAGCTCAGCTGGTTTTATCGGCTGTTTGTGTAGCTCCCATTTTGGATGCACAACTGGATACAACTGGGCCATCTAATTTTGCAGATGAGCACTATTCTACAGCTAAGACAATTCACTAATCATATGTAATAAAGCACTATTTTTATGAGCACTATTTACACTATTTTCCAAAGCTTCTAAAATTATCTGATTCATCATGATTCATCCAAGCTTGACATGAGCTCATGTCAGTTCATTCCCCACGGCCCCGCAGCCACTGCGCCCTTTGCGAGCTCAGGGTCCACATGTCAGCTACGATGAGCACACTTTCGGCAGGGCAAGTCATCATTGCACCTGGGCGGTGGATCCTGCAGGATCTTCATTTCTAGCCAGTCATGGTATACCAAGACCTATACTATACCAAGACCTATACCTACTATATCCAGAGGTGTTTTAGAGGTATAGCTATTGATCCATCCTCACATCATTTTTCTGGGTCTTTTTTGGCGATCTAGGGCACCAAAATACCTGGGATTTATTGATGTTCATCCCTCCAAAATGTCATGTGTCATGGGTTTAAAGTGGTTTCAACCCATCCCATCCCATCCCCATATGGTGACTATTCATGTTGATTCTTTATTGTTCTCATGTCACCATATGTCACCTAGGTCACCTATAGTTTTCCAATGAGCTGCTCTGTTCAATCTCGCTTCTTTCAGGCGTTTTATTGGTGTATCCTTCATGTTACAGCCTTCACGAACAGTTTCTTCAGCTTCCATCTCTTGGTATCTACCAACTAGTTTGTTGTTTTAAATACCCTCTGGTAAACTAACATAGCCATGGAAAATCACCATTTTGAATGGGTAAACCATCTATAAATGGGCCATTTCCCATGGCTATGTGAAATAACTAGCGGGTAATGTTCTTATGGATCTGGACCATCCCTTTCTCATTGGATCATAGACACGCCACAGAAACCCTGCCTTAGTATTGAATCTCTGCATTCGGGATGCACATATGGAGCTGGTTGTGAATAGGGGCATGGAATTCATTGAGCAGCGTTCAAACATGGCAACGTCATTCTCTTGCACTGGCTGGTTATGAATTCCCGGAATGTATGGTGATAACCCATGTCTTGGAATTGGGTACCGAGGTACACGTACTATAACCTCCTACAATCACAATCATCGACCAAAAGAGGTTTAGCCCAGCCATTGCTCAATTGATCTCACCATTCCCCACTAGCGTCCAGCCACAGAAAGGAATCGTGCTGGTTGTGGTGGTTGCAGCTGTTGTAGTGATACCTCAGCAGGACTGGTGTCTCAGTCTTAAAACCGTGGCCGTAGTTGGGGGCCATGGCGAAGGGCGAAGCAAAAGATGGCCGGAAATCCCCCCAACAGAAACAGGAGCTGTTAAATCAAATCTGAGCTGATCAACGCCTATGTTACACATACTATGTATTATATATATATAACTCTTATCATTCATTATTATATTATTACTATTACTATTACTATTATTATTATACATTGCAATATATTACATAATAGTATATTGCATTATATTGCATTATATTTTCTTGTCTTATCTTATATTCTATTATATTATATTAAATTGTAATATATTATATTATATTATATTATATTATATTATATGTTGATTTGTTTTATCATATTATAACATATAATAGTTTATCATGTTATTTTATAGTATGTTTTATTATATGATGCCACATTGTGTTGTAGTATATTTTATTATATTAGATTAGATTTCATTGTATTCTATTCTATTATATTAGATTATATTGTGTTATATTATACTGCATTACATTATAAGATTTTATGTTTTATATCATGTATGTATATATATATATCAAACATATGATAATATTAATAATAAGAAGACTATTAATAATAGTAATAACAATGACAACAATAGTAATATATAATAATAATAATACAAAATATGGTTTGTTTTGTTCGTTTGTTCAAAACAAACAATAACAAACATATATATATATACATATATACACATATACATATATATATATATATATTGTCAAAAAAAAGTACCCCCTGTCTGCAAATCAAACAGAAGTCAACAAATTCATCCTTGCATGATATCAGTTTATCAGGAGTCTCTTAGGTCACCAAATTGTTGGGTTTCTACTCAGCCCCAAGATCCCCCTAAAATCAGAGTTATTTGGCATCACCCAAACTTCTGCTGAACATAGCTCACATATTCGCAACATTACGTCTTGAACACATCAAAGGACACACATATAATCACATGCAAAAATATATCCAATTCTTTGTGAAGCTTGATACACCATTACTACAATGTGGGGCTAAGTTATAAGTTGCTTTATAAATATCATAAACATTCATAAACCATAATTCATGGACTTGTTTTCACCTATTTTTTCCCACATTTTTTCGCCACATCTGTTGGTTTCTAGGGGAACCCGGGGAGCCCACATCCCCAGCACGACCACCACCCATCACCAGCCACCTGTGGCTTGTCCGGTGGTCGAAGCTAGGCCAGGGATCCAGATCCTGGGAAGCTCTGCACCTGGGAGTCGCGGTCCAAATCGAAAAAAGGGAGAAATGGAAAAAATCATCTCAAAATCTTCATATATATATGTATGTATGTATATATATATATATGTATATATATATATGTATATATATATATATATGTATATATAACTAATTACATGAGAAAAAAACAATGTATATATATATATATACATCCACACATATAATGAAATCATTACATGAAGTATATATAATTACATGATATTACCCTTTATCTCCAAATCTCCGCGCGCTATTTTCCTTTGCAATTGTTGATGGGAAATCATCTATTTTGATGGGTGATTTTCCAAGATTTTGGATGGTGGAGTCAGATTGGTTTCCCGGTGGTTTTTCATCCGCACATGCGACTGGAAAAACTTGAGCCTGACGCCTTGAGCATCCCTAGTTTTGATGGTTCACTTGCCGGAGTTTTAATGGTGTTCTCCCTCCTTGTACCACTCCCCTAACCATAGAGAGTATTGCCACTACAGTATGAGTAGAAATACAGTTCATATATTGTATTTAAGTATAGCATAGTAATCCTCAGAAAGATAGTATGATTTCTGTGATTTATAAACAAAACAATCCCCTCGACCCCCTCGTACCCGCCCTGCCACCGCTGCGCAGCTATGCCGAGCCGCTATAGGTCGCTGTAGCCACCGAATCTTCATCGTCCGCGCCCACCTGGTTCGGGTATGTTAGGGTAAGAATGTCAATACCATTTGAGGACATTTTTGGGGGGCTTAACGGGGTTTAGTTGGATCAATCAACCAATAATTATACGGGATATCATGTGCCATAATTAGAGTGCATTTAGATAGCTAGCCAACTGAATATGATAATTGAGTTTGTCTACCAAAAATGCTATACCCAAACACGACCATGTTTATTTGGAGCATCATAATCAACCACTGCATGTGGGGCCATGCGGGGGTATGGTATCTTGAAACAACACCATATCTTCTGGAGATCTAATTTTTGCGCCGCTCTAGGAAAATCCAAATTTGCAATGAAGTGGAGAAATTAGCAATTCTGTAGTACATCACTCTCTAATATTTTTTGTAGATTCCCCTATTACTTGCTCAACAGCATTGACGCTATTTGGCATACGATATCCTCATATTGAAAGGTGCGCAATATTTACTCGTGTGCTACCCAATTTTGTTTATAAAGTTCCCTTCACGTTGGTCCTTTAGATATTGAACTGAACCAGTCATTGGGTATCAATGAGACGCTTTGCCAAACAAACAATAATTCACTCTGTGTTTGCCTAAAAAAAATATTGATTCATCCGAATGTAGTGTCATATCATCCCATTCAGCTTCTTGCATCTCCATTGTATGATCATTTTCCACCGAAACCTCTGCTGAATAGTTTTGCCGCTTTATTTCCACCGTTCAAGCCTAGATTCTTAACCATCAAACCAAACAGATGAACATGTCCACCTAAATTAGCATGATATGTTTACATTCAAAGCGTTGGGAATATGGAGATCTCACAATATTTGGTGTGTTGCAAAATTGTTTTTCCGAAATTCCGTTTTGTCATCATGTTCCCATTGATATATCAATTTCCGGACAAACTCATATCAGATTACTGCTTATACAAAGCATTGCACCCATTGCACTACTATATCTTACCAAAATATATGTTACAAAATCCTCTACATACAAAATCCTCTTACAAAATAACTTACATATCATTGTGTTAATCATTATATCTTGCAAAATACTCCGTTTATGTATAATAACATAATGACTAAATCACCATTCTGCCTAGTTCAAAATCCTCCATATTCAGATCAGCCATATCCCATAATTATTGTTGCTTCTATATCCAATGACTCAATGACGCATCCTCATGATACTCGAATTGGGTCGGGTTTATTCCCCAGTTTTGTTGCTTCAAAGTTAAAAGTAAACTGTCCTCCCCAAATGTTAACATCAACTTGTTCAGGAAAAAACAACGACACATTAATGTTAGCTCCTGATTAGTAGCTAGGGTCGCTATTGTGGCAAATTTTTCCAAATTATTCTGAAACTCATGTATTGTTTGGAGGGTTCGCTTTTGTGGCAAAACAAAATTGGGAGAGCCCTTTTTTTTAAAAAAAACTGTAATTGCTGAGAGGCATTTTTTTTCTCAAAAACGCTGTAGCTCAGTCAAGTTTTTGCTCATCTCTCTATCTGAGCCTGTAAATGCATCTCTATCTGAGTAAGTTTGTTTGCTGGGTTCACTATTGCAGCAAGCTGTGCCAGAGCAGCCCCTGGAAGCCCAGAAGAGAAGCAAGCCTTTTCCAAAATTGTCAAATTCAAACTGCAAGCCTTTCCCAAAAGAACCAATCCCTTATTAAACCCTTATTAAAGAACAGCTTTTCCACAATTTTCCAAGGCCCTGGACCAGGAGAGGCTCCATTTCACTTTAGTAGGTTTGTTTGCTGGGTTCACTATTGCAGCAAGCTGTGCCAGAGCAGCTCCTGGAAGCCCAGAAGAGAAGCAAGCCTTTTCCAAAGGCAATTGCCAAATTCAAACTCCAAGCCTTTCCCAAAGGAGCCAATCCCTTATTAAACCCTTATTAAAGAACAGCTTTTCCACAATTTTCCAAGGCCCTGGACCAGGAGAGGCTCCATTTCACTTTAGTAGGTTTGTTTGCTGGGTTCACTATTGCAGCAAGCTGTGCCAGAGCAGCCCCTGGAAGCCCAGAAGAGAAGCAAGCCTTTTCCAAAGGCAATTGCCAAATTCAAACTCCAAGCCTTTCCCAAAGGAGCCAATCCCTTATTAAACCCTTATTAAAGAACAGCTTTTCCACAATTTTCCAAGGCCCTGGACCAGGAGAGGCTCCATTTCACTTTAGTAGGTTTGTTTGCTGGGTTCACTATTGCAGCAAGCTGTGAGAGCAGCCCCTGGAAGCCCAGAAGAGAAGCAAGCCTTTTCCAAAGGCAATTGCCAAATTCAAACTGCAAGCCTTTCCCAAAAGAACCAATCCCTTATTAAACCCTTATTAAAGAACAGCTTTTCCACAATTTTCCAAGGCCCTGGACCAGGAGAGGCTCCATTTCACTTTAGTAGGTTTGTTTGCTGGGTTCACTATTGCAGCAAGCTGTGCCAGAGCAGCCCCTGGAAGCCCAGAAGAGAAGCAAGCCTTTTCCAAAGGCAATTGCCAAATTCAAACTCCAAGCCTTTCCCAAATGAGCCAATCCCTTATAAAACCCTTATTAAAGAACAGCTTTTCCACAATTTTCCAAGGCCCTGGACCAGGAGAGGCTCCATTTCACTTTAGTAGGTTTGTTTGCTGGGTTCACTATTGCAGCAAGCTGAGAGCAGCTCCTGGAAGCCCAGAAGAGAAGCAAGCCTTTTCCAAAGGCAATTGCCAAATTCAAACTCCAAGCCTTTCCCAAAGGAGCCAATCCCTTATTAAACCATTATTAAAGAACCGCTTTTCCACAATTTTCCAAGGCCCTGGACCAGGAGAGGCTCCATTTCACTTTAGTAGGTTTGTTTGCTGGGTTCACTATTGCAGCAAGCTGTGCCAGAGCAGCCCCTGGAAGCCCAGAAGAGAAGCAAGCCTTTTCCAAAGGCAATTGCCAAATTCAAACTCCAAGCCTTTCCCAAAGGAGCCAATCCCTTATTAAACCATTATTAAAGAACAGCTTTTCCACAATTTCCCAAGGCCCTGGACCAGGAGAGGCTCCATTTCACTTTAGTAGGTTTGTTTGCTGGGTTCACTATTGCAGCAAGCTGTGCCAGAGCTACAAGTACTACAAGTACTACAAGTACTACAAGTACTACAAGTACTACAAGTACTACAAGTACTACAAGTACTACAAGTACTACAAGTACTACAAGTACTACAAGTACTACAAGTACTACAAGTACTACAAGTACTACAAGTACTACAAGTACTACAAGTACTACAAGTACTACAAGTACTACAAGTACTACAAGTACTACAAGTACTACAAGTACTACAAGTACTACAAGTACTACACGTACTACAAGTACTACAAGTACTACAAGTACTACAACTTCATCGGCAAAAAAAACAATAGTAATTAGATTTCAATTGTAGCCAATTGAAATCCTTACTTAATTGAGGATATGTTTTTCTTTTGGGAAGAAAATTTTGATTTTCTACTTTAAAGAGAGTCCAGATATAGTTAAGGGGGGGGGGGGGGGGGGGGGGGGGGCCACACACTAATCAGGAACCAACATTAACAAAAATCCAAAGAACATTATCCTTTCAATCATCTGCCCATCTGGTATACTATAACCATTTCGTATATTTCTCGGGTGCCCTCCAAGGCCACCATGGCCACCATGGCCTCCTCCGCCAAAGCGGGACCATCTTTGACGCCGATCAAGGCGTAGGAACCGCGGTAGGGCAGGTCTCAGAGCAGATCGCAGTTGGGATATGTTGGGATATAATTTAATAATGGGATCATATATATATATTAGTATATATTAGTATATGTTAGTATATATTCTTATTATTATCATTAGTATTATTATTCAGTTTATAACTGTACGTGTCGGAAAATTGTGTATACACCCCAGGTACGGCAATGTTGGAGGTGCAACCAACGGACGAAACGAGGGTTAAACGAAAAGGTTCAAAGTTCATCCAGGCAAACTCTCCAGGTTTACCTAAGATATGATTGAATCCATTCATCTGGGTAAATGAACAAAAACAAAATCACTAACCTGAATAGTTCGGCTACTTGGGGATGTTTCCCCTTACTAACCATGATTATAGTGAGGTCTTCACTATCCTTCTGAGCTGCTCAAATTATCCATTTCGTATCCTCCACCCACCGACCCAACGGATGATGCCATGTCTCTGTCAATTTTGGTGGCGCCCAACTGCTTCATGGCGGAGACAGCAGCACTACTCATGTTGCCTGAGATCCAAAATGGGTCCTGAAGAACACCCAAAAGAGTCCGGACGTGTTGTTTTTTAATGATTTTTTTTCCCACTCCTTTGGGGATACATGCAAAACAATATGGTTCTTTATCATTACCCTCTGGTTATTTGTTACAGTTCGCCATGGAAAATCACCATGCTATCAATAGGTAAACCACCCATAAATGGTGGATCTTTCCATGGCTATGTTAGTCATAACCAGGTTGGCTACTCTCCATTCTGCCCCCTCAGCCATAGCCATCTTTTGTACTACTAAAGCCATCATCATATCAACCATTTTATGGGATATTATGGGATGGACATTGATGGGATTTTGGGGGGATTATTGGGATATCCCATTTATACATATTGGGATATCCCAATTGGGATGATATAAATGATATATACATAATCTAATTGGTGGTTGAGCCCTACCCCCCTGAAAAATGACGGAGTTCGTCAAGATTGGATCATCATCCCAACTATTGGGGAAAATAAAACATGTTCCAAACCACCAACCAGTAATTTTTGTGTCCCTATTGTAGTGGGGATATCATGGGTTACAATCCACTCAACAGGTCATGGCAGCATATCTTTCCCGCATTTCACCCAGTGATCCATGCATATACTGACTGCAAAACAAACAGATTATGTAAGCTATGCTTAAAGAACTTAAAGAAGTAAGTTTATGTATTTTGTCCTCTTCATTTCTTAAATATCATTGAATCCGCCATGGAATCAAACAATTGGATAATTCCATAAAAATACATAAACTTACAGGATCAAATATATGGCTAAATACTTACCAATTTGGAAGAAATCATTCAACCATCATGTTTCGATTCTTTCAGGAACTGGCCTGAAAACTTGGATGTCCAACCCTATGGAACATCATTGAAAACGGTAAATTTCCTCTATGTTCACTGCCCATGTTCCACAGCTAGATTACCAAATGGGTGTATCATATTATATTTTATTATATTTTTATTTTATAATATAATATTGAATTATATTATATTATGTTATATTATATTATATTATATACCATACTTTTTGAATATATGTCTGTATATACATATATAATGTACCATATATTAGATATAATATTATGACTATCCTTGCGGTAACAATGATTTATCCCTCTGCTTGCTGCGACCCATATGTTGGTCAGGAGCATGAGCAGGATACATGATTGTTCAATCAACCACAATCCACATTCAAAATGTCAACATTTTTATATGGTGGTTTCTCAAAATCATGGGTTTCAATAAACTCTTGGAATATTTTTGGATGATTTGGGGTACCATCTCATTTTAGGAAACATCCATATGTACATGTACCAAACATCATCCCATGCCTGTATATTTCGATTCAACATGTCTGTACATGTAATGGGGGCAAATATTATTGGGGTATAATGATCATTATTATGACCAGATTCAACATGCCATTGATCCCCCACGTTTATCGCGTCTTTGAAGCCCCATCTTTGAGTATACTCCCGATGTTGTGGCTACATCCCATTTTTGGTGGTGAGATCTGCGTAAACAATACGACTTTCCAAATCAAACATACTTTTGGAGAGATAATTACACCCATGATTTACCATGGTTGCTCCTAACACCGACGGTACTAATTAGGGCAGTAGACATATGGCAAATTATATATACATAATATACAGTATACATATATCTATATATATATTATTATATATCTTATATATTATATACTATATATTATATATATTCTATATATATATTATACTATATATATATGTACACACATCTAAACCATTTTCTAAATCAAGAGGTAAAAGCACCCAACTCCCCCCCTTGTGACTTTCATTTATCTGTAATAACTTGGAGTAACCGTGTTTAACCATCCAGAAATTCGTTAGGCTTAACCAAAACCAGGGCTGAATGGGTTGATAGGTAGAAGCATTGCGGATTAAGATTGAGTTGTAATCTGGTTTTTGCACCAGGGTATTTATAAATAACTCCCCTTTATTAACCCATGAACCATCATAAATATTAGTATTTCCCTCTGGTAAACGTTTACATAACTATGGAAAATCACCATGCTATTAATGGGAAAATCCACTATTTCTATGGCCATGTTCAATAGCTATGTAACAAATTACCAGAGGGTTATCAATCATTTCTCAATGTCTTTGATGATTCTATTATGAATCACACTGGAAAAAGGCAACCGGCAAATCATGATCCCCGGCAGGCCTATGGTCATATAAATCATTGACAAAACCCCCAATCATGGTTAAACCATATCAAAGAGAGTTAAACCCCTATCCATGGTTAGACCATGGTTACCCTCTGGTATTTTTCACCTAGACCCTAAAAATCACCCATTTTTAGTGGACTATCCGGCAGGGAAAGGTGTGAATTTACAGGTGAATCACCACCTACCCTCTGGTAAACTAACATAACTATGGAAAATCACCATTTCTAATGGGTAAATCCACTATAAATGGGCCATGTTCAATAGCTATGTTAGTTTACCAGAGAGTATCACCCCCTATCATCATCCAACCGTCCTTTCCAAGTCACTCTGTGCTTCGTCTCGGATGCCCAGCAGCACCAGCCGGTTGCTGGGCAACGCTCCCACGAAGGAAACGAAGGCCTGAGCCCAGGGGCGCCCCAGGCGCCCCAGATGGGAATTGCAGCATCCAAAAATCACGGGAAAAAATGGATGGAAATAGTACCCTCCGGTAAACTAACATAGCTATTGAAAATGGCCATAGAAATTTAATAGTGGATTTTCCCATTAATAGCATGGTGATTTTCCAGTTCGTTATGTAAACGTTTACCAGAGGGTCAATTACCCTAGAAAAGACTTATGATTCATCAGTTGATTCACAATTGGTATAAGAATATGAAGAGTACGAAACAACAAAAAGGACTTATGGTGGATACCCTCTGGTAAACTAACATAACTATGGAAAATCACCATGCTATTCATGGGAAATTCCACTATTTCTATGGCCATTTTCCATAGCTATGTAACAAATTACCAGAGGGTATATCTTTTCACATGATTATAATTAGTGTGGTTTATAATGGCCAAACGGGGGCTATAATTGGGCTATTTAACATGTATAAATCCAAGACATTCCACCAGTGGTTTAAACGACGATGACCAGTTTCTGACAAAGAAAGGGACAAGTCCAACATGGCCATGTCTTTTTTTGTTGGGAGATGTTGGGTTTGGACATGGCCAACATATCCAACATGTCCAACATATCCAAAAAAGGATCAGGGAAAGAACAGGAACAAAAATGCTGTCTTTTTTTCCGAACCCAACATATCCAAAAACGCATATAAGGCCAACAAATGGTGTCTACATCTAACAATGTTGGTGGCTAGAACTAAACAAAGAAGTTGGGTTTAATATCCAACAACAATTAGATGGTTTCATGCAAACAATTGTACCTTGACCATCGAAGATTGTGCTTTATCAAAGAAAGTACAAATATCGCCGCCGAAGATAGCTTTAAATAAATAATTATATATAATCTATTCAACAAAAAATATGTGAATCTATCCAACAAACATGGTGTTCTACCCAAGAAACATGGTGTTTTGTCCAACAAGATCAATGCGGCTAGAAACATGGCAATGGCCCAATGTCTGGCAATGTCACCATGAATAGGTTCCGATAGAATTACAGCAACAACAGGATATCTGTTACATTACTAAACAATTGATACAAGCATTCCCTGGAACCGGGATACTAAAGATGTTCCTCTGATGGATTCATATTCTCCAGTTCCAGTTCTGGCCGACAAAAGTTCTTTCCCCGGTTGGTATGAACTAATTTGTGGAGTGAATCTCCCTTCGTTGTGTTTTGATTGATGTCGTTCGTTTCCGTTCAGATTTGTCGGCGCCCTCATCATCGCTTGGCATAATCTCTGCGACAGATGTCCACTCTCCTCCCATTGAAAACATCACTGACTGTTCAATGGAATATAATCCCATTGTGATGGTATGATTCGGGAGTTCAAATACAATCCTCAACAGATAATTGGATCCCCAGAGCATGTTTAGCAGCAACTTGCTGGGGAGACTAACAACTCAAAATGCGGTTGTAAGCAACTCAACTTTACTTATCATCATCGAAATTATAAAAGGATTACAGTAGGATGGATTAGAAAATCATCTACAGTCAGCACAACCACTTTGTTTTTTGCCATCAAAATCATGATTTTCGCGCCTCAGAGCCAGCGGCATGTGTATCAAAGTTTTGGAAGCTGTCCAAAGCGCCCTCCTGTACGTTTTGCACGTCTTGCTGGTTGCTGCTGGTGAATTATTTACCTACTAGATCTTAGTACTAAAGGATACCACCCAAAAAAAATAGAAAAACAATGTAATTATCACTATTTTAGTGGGATTCTACTTTAAAAATTGTTTATTAACTAAGGTACATTTCCAGGTGAGTTTGGTGCATTTCTTCGCGACAGTGATGGGAGAACACCTGGGTGATTTTCACCGCGAAACAAAATGGGGCAGCCGAACAAAAACCAGACATCAGTTTTCGCGGTAAAATGTATGGATGATATGGATGATATAATGACCAAAATAAATGTATGGATATATAAATTGACCAAATAAATTTACAAATGTATGGATTCATCCATATCATCCATATAAATTGACCAAATGGATGATATGGATCTGGGGTAGAGTCTTATTTATTCTTATTTCTGTGATCTTCTGGGTAGATGTTCATGCCAATTCCGGGGGTGCCAAGCCATGGTGTTGTATCCACATTATCCAATGGGGAGCCAAGAAGCTTTCAACCATCATAATATGATCGTAAAACATAGTAAAACGATGTAAAAGGTGTCAAGCAATGAAAAAACAGGTAGAATGTTGTGGAGTGTTACAAATTGTTAGTGTTGGACCCTGACACCACATCGATGAAACATGAGCTTGGGTGTACCCCCAAATAATAGACCAGATGTGTTGTTCCAGGATGGAACATCTGATGTTTACACCACATGCTTCCGCTTTTTTTCAACTTTTCAACGTTGGGAACGCTGTACTTCAAGTTAGAAGCAGTCACTCAACATGGGTTCCATGATCCAATCCATTCTGTGTTTCTCAGCTGGAAGATGTATCACCGCTTAGAAAACAACTTGAAACAAACACCCAAAATTCAACTGCCGAGTTGAGACTGGCAAAAGTGGCCGTGCGCCTGCGTGAGCAAGACCACGTTCAATCCGCGATGCGCTTGCACATCGATTTGTTCCTTGGCTTGGGTTCCCAACTTCTGGAGAGCAAAAACTAACCATGCATATCTGGTTGGTGGTTGACCTACCCCTCTGAAAAATGATGGACTTCGTCAGTTGGGATGATGAAATTCCCAATATATGAAAAAATAAAACATGTTCCAACCACCGACCAGATATTGATATATATATATATATATATATATATGTATACATATAACGGCCGTGCCTAGGGGACTTCCACTTTGGATGGCCATGGGTGGCTCACTTGGTTTTCACACCCGGATAGTGAGGTCAGAGAGAGCCCAGTATATCTCTACTGTCTCCTCATTGTGGTTGGTTCCCGGATGGCTCAATAATGATTCCCCACAATTTCCAAGTCTCCATAAATGTTTATACATATTATATATATATAATATCTAATATACATATATATATATAATAACATATACTATATTTATATACTGTACATTATAAACATAATATATGATATATAAATAATTAATCATAATGTATATATATACAATTTATGTAATACATAGTTTCTACTCGCAATGGACATGGCCAAAGTGAATGGTCAGTGGTCCCCTATCGGTTGTGAAGATTTTCACACAATTTTAAACATCCCAAGTCCACTCCCTACTACTTTGGTCTCCCAAAAAAAAGAATGTAGGTTGCTCATTTAATATAATACATGTGGAAGATATGGATCAAGTATGATCAAGTAATATCCAGCCATTGGGCTGGGTAAATTATAATATTTCACTAACCTGAAATAAGACCATATTGGGATCATTTCCCTTATTAACCATGATTCTCGGTGAGGTCGCAGTGAGGTCGTGATCAAATTTACCCAGAAGTATGATCAAGTCATATCCAGCCACTGGATATCCATCGTCACCGAGTCGTCACCGAGCCACTCCGTCCACCTGAAATGCCGCCGTATCGCCGTTGCTCCTGGAAACACTGGGATGATGATTTCATGGGAGAATTTCAACCACCAACTGCTGCAGGATTTCCCAACCATTCAAACTACGGAAACCGTGGTCCATTTACCGTAGTAGTGGTTGGGAAATCCTGCAGTTGGTGGTTTCCGTTTTCCGTTTTCCGTATCCAATCTGTGTGCCATCATCTAGTTTGATGAGAAAATCACCGTTTTTGAAAATTATGATTTTCTAGGTCGCAAAGTGGCACACATTACCAAAGGGTTTTATCATGGGTCCATCGGTCGTGGCAAATTGGCAGTTCCTGGAAAACCAAGCTGATAATGTGGTGTACATTCATTATATACATTCGAATATAATGGTACTAAGAATGCTTTTGGGATGTATTAATATGGGAAATTCATTGAATTTCCATTCCCAAAATGGAATATATTACATGAAAATGGCTGGGAAACCTTGTGGCCTGCGGCCACCAAGGCCTGATCAATCGGAACGGGAGACTACTTCAATGACTTTCCCCTGGCGATTGGCAGCCACTCTTGTTTTGGGGCTGCAGTTGAGTTCATTTTTACGGTAACAACCCCCGCAACTTGGGATATAACCGCTTTAAGTGTGGAGGACGCCCTAGATGGCAGTGGTTGCACAGATCAAACGAAATCATTCACGGATAAGCCATATAGAGTATGATGGGGACCCATTTCAAACCAGAAACATTCTACGGGTACTGTAGCGCAACAATGGATAGTACGAGTATTATAAATAATAGTATGAGACCATGCCAAGCGCGGATGCATTATGTTGAGTGGCAATGGATTGCGACTAAATGCCTGGCACTACGACTACTTGCAATAATTTTACCAAACCGAGGGATCAGTGCAATCGACCGGATAAGGACTATATTGGTCTGATGAACAGAAAAAATATGTTTTTTTTTGGTTTAAATAAGCTATGCATCTGTACAGTCTATACTACAATGGCTTTTGGAACCATGCTCAACAGTGGCTGGGCTTCAATAACCGTTTCACCATGGCCGCAGGCCCCTTGGTTCCTTGAAGATCTGGGTATGAGTCAACATGATTCACCCCATTTTGGCATGGACAAATACAAAACGTGGGCGTGCCTCAAAACCTATGAAACACTTTCAAAAACAATAGTTTGGGCAGATGAATCCCTACAAAATCCCAGCTATTTTAGTGTGAACATGTGTGTGTGTGAACGTGAACAGAAGGGTGATGATAGGGTTTTGACCCACCATCCAAGTAGCCTATCCATTGATACACAGCAGTTTGGGCACCATATGTGACCAGGCGATCCAAGGCTCCTTGAGGTACTACTAACCTGGACGTCATATCTCACAGTGATGTAGGAGCCTTGGGGTATCTGGCAGCAAATTCATGCCATGTTTGATGACTTCCCTGATCTACCCTATCAATACTGTATTTTAAGAGTATTTCCTTTAAAACAAGTAGGGTAGTATTGGTATGTATTGGTAGCATCCATTAATCAACAGAACAATTATGCGCGCCCCTTGGGCGGTGCATGCTGCGCTGCACATCATGGCTTTCATCTAATTTCCGCAGGACAACTCATTTCTCTAAAAGAACTCTCAGATTCTATCGTTGTTCTATCGTTCATGAGTCTGTTCATGTTTTTGTAGTCGTTTTCTGCCCTTTCAATCATTCCTTGCAATCATCATCTTGCGACACTCCAGTACCAGGTGAGTCATCCACATCTTGTCAAGATCTACACAGCTTCTTGGATGTCATCCAACTTAGTGGCTTTGATATTCAAAGTAGGTTTATAAGTTTAGAACCCACATAAGCTTGACCAGCTCATTTAGTTCAAAGTTTACTTTTCATAGCCGCAATACTAAAACCGGTGATTCCTCTGGATTAATGTATATAATATTAGAGGGTTCGTATCTATCCAGTCAGAAACTCAACAAGTGTTTCTGGAGTATCTTGATTCACCAAGAGTAAATGGGATAGTCCCATTTCAGGAGGATTTACCACCAGGACCAGTATCATTTACCCGGAAGTAAACTACATAGACTATGGAACATGTATTGAAAACATGCACCAGTTGTGGATCATCTAAGAGATACCCATGGATTTCCATATCAAACGGTCGTTTCCTGAGGGATTCAAACGGGAAAATCCTCCAACTCACAGCCCATTGAGCAATGTTCAAAACCCGCAACAAGTGAGTGCATAGTACTGGTTGATTAAGAATGGGCTCCCGAAATTCATGGATTATCCTCATACATAAAGGATCACAAAGGATATATAACCATATAATCATATAGCCCCCAACAACATCAACATCCAATCAACATCAATCAACTATATCAGAAACTATCAATTATCTATCAATTATCATCATCCCCAGAGGGATCCTTAATTGATTTGTTATCTATCATCCTTATCATCCTCCATATCTATAATCCTTATCATCCAATCCCCATATCAAATGGATAATAGATATGGAGATGATATGGACATAGATCTTAATTGATGGATACTAGATAATCATTGTTTCAAACATCGAATGGATCAATTCCCCAGATCTTTGATGCTTAAAAGGCGCTGTATGATCCCGAGGCCACTGAGGCAGTTCCATCTGGAAACGTCTGGCCGCGGATGTCCGGTGAACATCCCACGGGACCATGATCAACGGTGCGTAATAAATATGATGTAAGTAATATAGGAACTCATCACGATATAACTTATGAAACTTATGATATAACATGATATAACCATATATAACCACCAATATGAAATTCGTTTCGGTGACCTGAAAATTCCAGGGAATGTTCTTCTGAGTTTATGGCAAATTGAATCGGAACGTATGGGAAAATGAGGAGCATCGCCATGATTTTACAACCCCTCCCCTTTTCTCCATAAAACAAACAGGTTTAAGCAAAGAACGTAATGTTCAATGGGCAAATCAGGAAAAAAAATGCATTTTTTATGACTTCTGAACCATCCAAAAAAAATGTGGAGTGGTCCTGTATATCAAAATGATTTACCCTCCAGTAAATTAACATAGACCCTGGCAGATGGGGGTTTGGAAGATTAGTTTCCACTAAAATTTAAAAATTTGTCATTTTCAGGGTCTATGTTTATTTACCAGAGGGTAAAATGTTCCCATAAATCATCGCTGTGAACCACCGTGCAGTCCATCGAGCTACTGGTCTCAGCATGCTTTCAGGATTGGTGGTTTCACATGGCTTCACTGGGCTTCAATGGGCCCGGTATGATAAACAAAACAGCGTGGATATCTGTGGACAATGTTATACTGGTTGGTGGTGCAATAACCATCTGGAAAAATATGAAAGTCAATGGGAAGGATGACATCCCATATATTAAGGAAAATAAAAATGTTCCAAACCACCAACCAGTATATCAAATGATATGCAACATAGGGGGTGTTTCTACCATTGAAGCAGAGGATTGTGGATTGTGATGAGGCTATCACATATACACAGCATCACACCAATAAAGAAGATATTAATTACACCCAAACACCTTGGGATACTGGATACCATCAACAGACAGAAAAATAAGATTTGATCAGTTAATACTGGCTCAATACCCTTTCTGCGACACCCACCCGAACAATACTTTGGCCATTTTGTGGATCATCTTCCGCTTTGGGCTGGAAACTAAAAAAAAACGAAACACGGGAGGTACGTTGACCCATCTGGAAACAACAGTGGATCATCTAGTTATGAAACATTGGCAATTCACCCGATAGCAACTGGAATCCATGAAACAAAATGTCTAGAGACATGTTTGGGAAATTCTGTGTTCCACTCTATACATCTCTATACCTTTTCTTGGGGGTGCAGGCCAGCGGTTATCTATATATATATATATGTATAAATTATGGAACTTTAACCACCAGGTTTCTTGGGATATGTGGCCCCTATAAGTATGGCTTGGTATGGTTTGGTTATATATCCACTTAGTTCACTGCACCTGCACCCCGAATCCACTCTGCGACTGGCACAACTTCGCCCTGCATAGCTGTGCCTCTTCTGCGATCGCCGTGCCGTCTTTGATTCCAATGAGCGCATAGGATCCACGGTAGACCAAGTCTGAGTGACGACACTTCTCGGAGAACGATCATGGAATCATGGGATGGCTCTTTCTATAGGGAACATGAATCGTTGATTGCCAAAAAGGACGATTGAAAAGACTTGCTTCAAATTGAGTAGTCAGGAGAACATGGGTGGTATAATATGTTTGTTTTGTTTTCAAGTTGGAGATGGCAGGGCTGAAACAAGAAACGGGATTTCACCAATGACGCCTCATCCAGGAAATTAGGTCTATATATCTGATATGTATATATGTATATATATATGTATATATATTGCACATACAGAAATATATATATATATGTATAATTATACATATATTGTATCTATATCTACTATGTACATACCATCTTATCCTATTATATATGCTGTATATACTTATGAAACAACTGAGGATATTGAGTATCTCGTGATTTTGCGCCAGTAATTTCCACGCCCCAAAGAAAACATGCCCCCTTCAAGGCTGCAACGAGTGGCTTTCGATCTTCATGGTCCCCAGAAGCTTCATCGAATCCACTGCTGCGGAGCTCATGTTGCCTTGGGACCATTGAGCATCTGGGATTTAACCGACCATAGCTATGGAAACTTGTTTACCTAAAAAAAAATGTCCTATAGTCCTATTTATCTTTTCCAGTAAACTAACGGACTAACATAACTATAGAAAATGGCCCATTTATAGACTTGTTCACCTATTAAAATAATGATGTTCCATAGTTGTGTTATAGTTACCCTCTGGTAAACGAACTAACATAACGAACTGGAAAATCACAATGCTATATATTCATGGGAAAATCCACGATTTCTATGGAACATCACCATTTTTCATAGGTAAATCCACTATTTCAATGGAAAATCCGAATTTTTCATAGGTAAATCCACGATTTCTATGGAAAATCACCATTTTTCATAGGTAAATCCACTGTTTCTATGGCCATTTTCCATGGCTCCAAGGGTCTCCCCCATCGCCCCAACGGCATGCCGAGGCTCCGTGGGCTTCGTCGCGCACGGCGACGAGGACCAGGGTGCCGCTTTGCAGGGACTGCACGAAGCTTGTGAAAGCCTCGTGGGGAATCTTCACATGTGGGGAATGCAATGGTTACACATTCATATTAGGAAATATCATATAGTGATATATGTAACCATAATCTTTTGGTGAATGGAACGGTTACAATGGAAAATTATGGTTAAGATATGTTAAGATTCTGGTTACATAATGTTACACATATCATATATGATATTCCCCAATGATATTCCCCATCAATCTTCTCTCATCCCATCATATAATTTTTTGTGGGGAAGAAATTGCTACAGATATGATGGGAATGGAATCATGATATGGTTCACGCTGGTACCCATAGGTTCAAATCAAAATAGCTGGCCATTTTATGTTCAATTCAAATACCTCTTAGTTTGGTAGTACTGGTATTGATTCATAGCCATATGGACTATATGTGCCATGTTCAAAACATGGTATACGAGGTATGGTAATCCATCCCATGATGGGAATATGTATTGTGTATATATATATATATATATGTAAATCATCCCCATTGATGAAGGTATGGCCATCCCCAGTATGGGTATACAATTTAATTTTTGAACATGGCATATATGGATTGATATTTAATGTATGACAGTATTACATACCGATAAGTACAAGATTTAGTACCTACCCGAACAATGGATGTTTGAATATGGTTGAAACTAAATGACCAGTATATTGTGGGTCCAATTGCTGTCCCTGAATTTTTTGGTCACCGGCTGGCCCACGTCTGGTTGGGGTTCAAAACCCAAACGAGAAGGGATGGATCTCTTTGCTTTAGTGAGACCTACGGATCATTCGCTTTGCCCACTTATATATTTATATGACATATGGTATACAAGGGGCCACAATAGAGGAAACCAGCATGATTTCTGATGGTTTTCCGCCGGAAGGGGGGATCATGCAGCAGTTTTCGGTCACCCATTCAGCCAATTTGGTGCTGGTGAAGTCTCTATCCCATCCATCGGTCAACTTAACTCATACCACCAACTTGGGACCTCGAACAAAATAGATCCAATTCAGTCCAATTCAGTACGGTTTCCAATGGAAGGGATGACTTAATATGAGGAAGGGATTTGTTTTGAATACGGGAACCATTAATGAATAGATGCAAATTATACATTCCACCAGTTTTTCGTTTGGATGCATTTTATATTTTTGGACATGTCTGCAAATAAGGTACACCTCATAAATGTGGCAATACAACAATGGAAAACTCTGACTACCCTCTGGTAATCAAAGCTGGCTTGCTGGAAAATCCCTATTTCTTGACGATTTTCGCGGTGAGAAATATCTATATATATATATATATATAGACGATTTTACCCAATTTTCCTGTGATTTTCCCGTGTTTTTCCCATTAAAACCTCCATTTACAAGTCATGTCCCGGCTAGCCATATGGGTTTATCTGAAAATAGGGTACCTCTAAATCCATTCACCACAATTTTCCCTATCAAACAATTATTTTTAATGGGTATACCCACTTTCAGGCAGACCATGGTTGATATTGGAGGGCTCCCCCCATGAACCGCAGCTGCCACGACCTCGGAACCCGCCGCATGGGTATCAAAGACGTGGAAGCTGTCCAGGAAGCCAGCCTGGTACCGGCCATCTGTTCCAAAATGCTGTTTTTTTTTTTGTGGCAAAAACTACAAAATATGGAATGTTACTGGAATATGAATGGAAAAATAATTGACTATTAATCGGATGTATCAATGGTATACATAAATAAATATACGTAATATAATATATATATATGGATATGGATATGGGATATAGTGGTTTAATCGGGTGATTAATGGGATGACTAGTGGGATTATAGTGGTTGAATGGGATACCAATGGGATGATGATCGGACATTAATGGGATGATTATACGGTATAAACGAAATGATTGTGGGATGATTATGGAATATACCCTCTGGTGTCATCCAGCGTGGCTGGAAAATCCCCGAGCCATGTCGGATGTACAGATAGAACACACTACAGTCCAAGCACTGTATAAGATTTCCTTGTATAAGAAAATGAGGGGCTGGATTCTTTAGCCGCATATATGTTTTGTGGAATATATATATATATACATATTCTGGCATTATTGACATTCTATCTGGCATTCTATCTGACGTATATTCTGACATTCTATCTGACATTCTTTGTGGCATCCTATCTGACATCTGACGCTCGCGGTTGAAGTCTGGCAGTGCTCACTGAGCTTTGCCGTTCGCAGTTGAGGTCCGGCAGTGCCCACTGTGATCTGGAGCTCGCGGTTGAGGTCCGGCAGTGCCCACTGAGATCTGGAGCTCGCGGCTGACGCGGATCTGGCAAGAGGCGCGGCAAACTGCAAATATACTCGCCATAAATCCAATAGTTGTCGTGATGAAATAAACCAACATACACCTATCAAGTAAATCAGCAATAAATCATCATTTGTCTGACTCCCATACTTTTACTAGTTAGATTAAGTAATCAATCTTGTGGTTTCAATCTCGATTTTCCTGAGGCTTTCCCACATTTTTGAAGGTTCGATTTCAATTTTCGGATGGTAATTGTCCTATAAATCAGCCATAAATCTCCATAAATCAGCCATAAATCAGCCATAATTCCACATGTTTTGATTTTAATCAGCCATAAATCTCCATGTTCTGCCATAAATCCACATGTTTCTGCGATTTTCTGAGTTAAATCTCCATGTTTACCAAGTCGCCGGCGTGATCACCGCCACGTTGAGGCCACGTGCTATGTCCAGGTCCGTGAGGTTCCGGCCCTGGACCTGCCGAAAGTTACATTTCATATATGCATATAATATATAAGTATATATGTATGTGTAAATTTATTCCATCAATATATCATAAATATGTAAGCTACAATATATATATATATGAATATAATTGAATATAATTGAATATATTATATTCATGTGTATATATTATTACAAACAGGTGCCCCTTAAATCTAACATGATCCACATACAACATGGCGCCTATGCCGTGTCAACTTATTGGTTCCATATCGTTGCACAAACGCCTCGAAGACGACTTGGTTGCCATTGCTCCTGGAGGTGCTTGTGACCATAATATTGAAAGATGTTTTAGAGCCTGAGACGAGCGCATCGACAAAGACGTCCGAAGTTCGGAAAAAAAACACAAAAACATGGAGGGGAAGCCACTTCAACCTGGGAGAGCGAAGACTTTTTCTCCTAATAACTATTATGCCGGGAAGTGTTCATGACTTTTGGTCCACATTTACTGATCTTATGAACACCCAGATTTCCCACTTGTCTATCTATTTAAAAATTTGGGGCTGCCATATTATAACTAGGGAAAATGTTGATCAACTATGAGATGAACATGATTGGTACAAGTTGTAGCGCACCAAGTTCAAAGTTGGTTGGTATATAAAACCCATGAAAACACATGATATATCTACCATAAACATGCTGGTTTATGACCCCACTGAGCATAGATTGATCTATCTAGCACCACCTAATAAAAGGATGACTTGAGGGATGAATCATCCCAATACACGGCTTCTAAAAAGGTGATGTAGCCACCAAAATTTCCAATTTCCTTGAAACTCAATGTCCATCGAAACGTGGATTTTTTTAGCTTGATGTTGGATGCTGGGTAGGGATTCCCAGTTCATGGCTTATGATAGAGAACCAATATAACTCCTAATATAAGGATTGGGATTATATGGTTGGGATTCCCCATATAATCCTAATGATTGGGATAGGATAACCCTCATGATTGGGTTGGGATTCCCCATATAATCCTCAACGTTTTCTGTTTTGAAATGGACCACTCAATAGTAAATGACAATTGCAAACGTGATCCATGATGCGGAAAACCCCTCCAAAATGCCTTGTTTGTCAATCGGAAAATCAATGTGGAAACATCTTCGATCCAAGAGACTGCAAAATCCACAACTCATCAAATCAGGCCTTGTTCGCTAGTCATGATCATATAATCATAATGTTTTGTTTTTTTTATGATGTCGAACAATAAAGAACAATAAAACCATGATAAAATCATCATAAATCAACTCATCATCATAATCAGTTTTTGACAACGATGTATGCCAGAATCGCTGGTCATTCTTTTTGGTGAGGATAACAAACAACAGCCAGTGAATCGCGGCACTTTCTCACCAATGAAGATGACTGAGACCGGAAATCTTTAGCTGCTACGGCGAAGAAATTATCCAAGGTGGAGTGGTCAATGGATTTTGCGGCATAGCCTAATACAATAAATTCAATATACCAATATACACCATCCAACATGGTTGATAGGCAAATATAATTTGTATGACACATGAAAAACACATATACTGTCGTCTTCCAAATTCTGGGAAAACAATATACATACCCTCTGGTAAACCAATATAACTATGGAAAATCACCATGTTTAATGGGAAAAACCACTATAAATGATCATTTTCAATAGCTATTTTGACATAACCAGAGGGTACTAATCATCTAGTGACGTCACTAGCCAATCTAAAAAGCAAAACGGCAAAACGACCTCGCAGCAATTTCGGAACCCGACGGCCAAGAAACTGTAAGTTGCAGAAGCTACGGCAATCGTGCCATCCGGAAAGGTCTGCACGCCGACAACGAAAAATAGATCCCGGTTTTTTGAAGACACGGAGAGAATCTTTGGATTTCGGATGATTTTGGCCAACGATTCATTAATTTGTATTTCCAAATATATATATATATATATACATCAAATCCAAGTGAAATCCTGGCTTTTGATGATTAAATCCCAATTTCTGGTGATTGCATTCCTGATTTAGAATAAGTTTCATCATTTGGAAATGGCTCAAAAAGACCTACCAATCTCTCTGGTTATAAATCAAGTTGGATAGCACGGTCGCCATTTCCGAAGGACAACACTGCAGCAGTGCCTTCTCATCAAGAGCAGCGCCGCCCTTGACACCAATGAGAGCATAGGAACCACGATAGGAGAGGCCTTGGGTGGTACACCGTCAGATCGGGCATCCACCACTGGGTTATGGTATATGCTGGGTTTGTATATGGTAGGATATGGATGGATATGAAATGGATATGGTAGAATTGGATTCAAAATATATAAATCTACTGGTGTCTGGTGTGCACCTATATATGTATAAGTGGCTCGGATTTGGAACTCCCAAACCCCATGGTGTGTCATAATTTTAAGCGCCCAAAGACTGGATGATCGGCCTGGAAAATGATTTTGCGGATGGCATATGGAGTTACAAAAGTCTGGACCCCAAGGAAGACAAAACCAAACAATACGAGGAGGCAATCACATTACAATTTAGCGAAATTGTGCTGTGATTTGACGATTGGATGCTAGCACCAATTCATATGGTATTTCACAGGGTTTGACATAAGCATCCGGCGGATGTCAAACGACCTGAGTGATTGAGGGATAGGAATTGAATCCCACCCCCAAATAGGGGAAACACCAGCATATGGGATCTGAAATAAAGAAATTCCAATCGTATTCATAGAACATCACGGTTTCTGCAGGCAGAGGTTGAATTTGGGAGGAATAAAGTGGGATGTGAACCACAAGACATTTTGATATCGGATGTAAATTCGCAGGGCGCAAACTCCATCACGACTGAACTCTGAACTGGCTTGAAAGTAAACACCCAATATATGTCCATACACAATCGCAGAATTAGGTATTTAAAATTATCAAAACATTTATAGGATCAAATAGGATCAATATGGATCAACGTATATATATATATATCAATATATATTGGAATATATTGGATCAACATTTAAGTACCCCATATATGTCCAGCCAATGATGATTTCACCCCAAACCATTGACATCCAGCACCTTCGTCACCTGTGGGAATCCCAGCTGTCGATAAGTTGTGCCCCACAAGTCTTGATGGCATCTTTGGCCGCTCGAGTCATGTTGCCTTGGGAAAATCTGATCCGGTGGCCAGTCCGAAAATGATGGGACTGTGGCCAATGTTTTGAAGCTGAAATAGGACCTATCTGGGTTCCAGTCTTTCGGGAAATGGGACATGTTGCCATGTTGGGACCAGTGAGTCCAGTGAGGTCCAAAAAAATGCCAAGAGATGGGAGCCATGAGTTTGCAAATAACAGATGTAAACGTGAAATTAGGAGATCTTGGGATATTAAATGAACTATCCACGTGCAATCCTTTCGCTGACTTCTTGGATGACAATTTCCGTAGCTATCTTAGTTTACCAAAGGCTAAATTATATACATAGTTTACCGCAGGGCCCCTGGTCTAGAAGATCTCATCGCAATATTTGCAGCACCAAAAACCTGTTCAAGCAGCCAAGTCAGATTTCCTTGGCAAGTCAGATCTCTTGCAAAAAGTGATGTACCCTCTGGTAAACTAACATAACTCTGGAATAAATCAACTATAAATCACCATTTTCAATAGCTATGTTAGTTTACCAGAGGGTAATGCTGTTTTTTTTTTTTTTTATATGGTTAGTGTGTCCCGATCTATTGCAAAAAATAAAGTATGAGATGGTCATGCACTTTGGGTGCCATGTTGATCCATCCCCACATGAGAAAAGTTCCACCAGTAATCTCAATGTATGGTAGATCTACTGTACATCTGGATACATTTGGATGATTTTAGGGGCTATATATATATATATGTATGTACATATATATATATATATATCAGTAATTTTGAGTGTATATATGTATAGTTGCTGTAAAATATGCCAGCAGCATGAAGAATTTGAAGCTGACATTGGCAAAACCCCCATGTATATAATTGTATTGCTTTCTAAATGAAAATTCATTTTGGTTCGGGGATTTGCCAATAGCATATCCATATATACACGATTATATACGCAATGTATGAAATATACACAGAATATATATTTATTGATATATGTACAATAATATATATATATATATATGTACGATACTAGATGAACAAGCTCTAGGAAACGATGGGCAGATCCTCACGGACGTTGATCCGGATATATATATATATTTAGATAGTATACATAGATATTTTGATACCTATTCTTTCCATTGCAATATGGATCCATCTCAAAAGTGCATACCCGCATACCCTCCAAGCCCATATCCATCATTTCATATCAATTCCCCATTGAATTGCCATTTTGGGGCCCAAGTTTGACGTAAACCCATTTCAAATCGAGAAATGGATAGTATATTTTGAATGGGGGATCCGGGGATACCCGTTGATACTTCGGGATGGTTCATCCACATCCGATACGAATAAGTGGAACTCATGTGCCACAAAGGGGCCCTTTGACAATACTTGGGTTACTTGCGAAAATAGCTGAATATAGATGACCTGGTTGGTGGTTTGGAACATGTTTTATGTTTCCATATATTTGGAATAATCATCCCAACTGACTAATATTTTTCAGAGGGGTTGAAACCACCAACCAGTGAATACAGCATAGTGCTGCAAATCCCACATTCTGCTGATATGTTCGTTATTCAACCACCAAAAGGGTCAGGAAATCCACCAATGGGTCGACTTCCTTGGCTAATCTTGGATACTAACCTTGTTTAAGCCGGTCAGGTCAATATGATCCAATTTCTGGTTTGGTTGAAACCTATGAACTTCTGCGGAGGGATCAACATCCAATTCCTTTCATTTTCGGTGAAATCCCAATTTCTTGTTGGTTACAATCCCAATGCTTAATGGTATAAAACGACCAACATGAGGATATATATATATATATATGATGGGATTTGTTGGTGTAAGCCCTCATTTATAATACCTTTGCTGGTTACTAGAACTTGTAATTCACTGTTGAATTGAAACAATTTAAACGTATCCCAATATCTTACCTTGAGCATTACAGCCAACGAAATCGGTATCTTCACCTGCTATGACCTGCTATTGTTGGTCAAATCCTCGTAAGACGTGGTACTTTGAGCATCATCGCGTACGGCCATTAGGACCAGCGTTCCAGCAGGCAGGGTATCAATGAAGGACACCAGGGCCTGAGATTCCCAATGGGACACTGTGTCAGCTCAACAGATTCTGAAACTCAGAAAAGTCAGACCAATACATGATTAAATAAATATATATATATATAATAATATATGTAATATACACATACGATAATATCTACACGAACAAAAATGGGGTTAACCGATATGGGACTTAATCATCAACCAGGGGGGTAAACTCAGTGGTGATGGGATGTGATGGGTAGCTTCATCTTAATACCACCTACCATCCTCCCAACTAGCATCACAAACTGGCCATGAGTGGGAAGACAATCCTTTCCAACCTAAACATAGGTAATTCTTCCGGGTCTATGTTATGTCAGGGCATGGAAACCCCCGTAGAACTGTGATGATGAACCTACTAACTTTTGGGATGGCTAATTCTTCAGGGTCCTGCTGTTAGCTGGCGTGACAATAAGTTTAAAAAAATGACCCCAAAAAAACTATCCCCAAAAAAGTAGCTATATATAAATAGTGCGTGAGCAACGTTCAAAACCATCTGTCGTCCCTAAACATACTGCTTGGTTAAGAACGGGTTTCCCGAAAAAAACAAACGTGACAATCCCTAATAGTTCATCATCAACCATCATTGATCAGTTGTATCCTCCTATATCCCCTCCATTTTTTCGCGACCTATCATCAACCAACCGTTGCGCCAGCGATTCACCAGCCGGTCGCAGCCATGGAAACCCACCGATTCACCAGCTGATTTTTTTGAAATCCCCATGTTTAACCAGCTTGAACCAACATGTTTCATCATTTCCCCATAAAATGCCTCCATTCCCATGCCGATATCATGATATCGATGTCCCACCTCCGAGCCATCCGCATGGGTGTCGAAGAGGTGAAAACTGCTGAGTGAACCATCTGCCTTGGCTGAGAAACCCTGTTGTTTCTCGTTGTTTTTTGAAAAAATGATGAAACATGGAGATCAAGGCCATTCAAGGCCTTTTTGGGGGCTCTCATGGAGGACAAAAAGTGACGTGGATTCATTGTGATTCATTTAGGCCCGATTGTACCTTTACGAACTTGACAGTGACATACAGTGACAGTAAACTATGGGGACCAATCAACAAAAGAACACTCTATATTTATACTTGATTATATAATAACGAGATATCAACGAACCAGAACATGTAGAGACTGTAGAGATGAAACAGCAACAATTGGGATCAATAAAAAACAAGTGGGAGATTGGCCAACCCAAATTTGGAGATGAACTTCTTGACCCCTTTTTGGGGGAGGTGGATTGACACATAAGATTTACCTTCATGGAACTTAAGAGGCTAACCTCAAACATGAGAAGATTGACTGGAGAAACTGGTTAATGGTTTCAACATGTTTCAACCTCCCTGAAACACATGTTTCTAACCACCAATGACAGAAATATTCCATTGCCCCCCAGGGTCAGTTCCATGCGAGCTGATCCAACTGGGAGAACGAAAAATCCGCTGGGAGTTGTATCTTTCAAATGGGGAGCCCATTTGAGCTACTAAGAACTTCCCAAGCGCATGAAAGTCTACACATTTTTTTTTCCGAAATTTAACACATGGCGGGGGCTCTGCAAACCCCAAATCCCGTGGTCCTTCTCAGATTTCTCCGCTTGAAAATTGTTGAGTCAGCACCTTTGGTGGGATAGATTTCCCCCAGAATTGCAATTCTGGATAGGGTATTAATATTATTAACTATATAATTAATATAAGAAATGAAAACGGCAATCTCGAACCTAAAAGCTGTCCGTGATGATGTTCCCAAAATGAAGCATGGTTTGTGGGGTTTGGTCGCAGTCAATGTCACTTGTACCAGTGTCTTGTTCTTTACCATGTGCGTTGGTTAAATCCCCCCTCTTGTGAGTGAAAATCACATTGTGTGTGAATTTCCCAATGCTAAAATTCCCTATGCCTATCTATATCCCATGTAATCTAACATGGACCCCCCCCCAAAAAAAAAAACATCGGAACACGATTTTAGGCCCTATTTTTTTGCTTCCAGGTGATTCTCAAAACAATTTTATCGCCACGGGGCGATGTTCACCGTGGCCAGATTCACACCACGACCAGTTCTTGCTATCTCAAAGGTCTTCGCATTGACCTAGCATCAACCCTTTGGGAGCGGTCATCGGTCACCAAAATTGGCGTCATTTTTTTGTGAAATCCCAATGATTCCATAGGGATTTAGTTGGTGAACGTCACTGGTGAAAATCCTTAATATTGGTGAAAAATTGGTGAAATCCCAATATATTGGTGAACATAACTGGCTTAACTACTAGAGTTCTTGTGGTTTATGAACCAACTTATAACTGGGGGGACCCCACTTTGCAGGAAAAATAAACTACACCTACGGCTGGTGTCGGGCGTGGGTCAAACATTGTAGAGCATATTTCATGAGATCAATGGGTGTGCCTGAAAAATGGATGGTATACCCTTCAAATGGCATCTTAATAGGGAAATGATGCTTAACCAGTGAGATTTGTTTGGTGTAGCCCCATCAAAATCATCCCAAATGCCGATGGATCCTCCATAATTTCCTCATGGTGGGCCCCGCACAAACCGTTGTGTTTGTTGGATTACAACCTCATCTAACAATAGATACATCCCCGATAACTCCTAGTTATAGTATAATAGTATGTAAATAGTTGTAAACATGTATAAACCAATTTAGCTATCTTGGGCCCCACATTGCAGGTGTCCAACTGTTCTGAATCCTTTTGGGGCCTGCTACAACGTATGTTCCTTGAAAGATTGAGTGAAGCACAGTTTGGTTCAAATATCAAGAATCTGAACGGCATAAATGGGCCCTATCTTTGATGTCCCCCCAAGTGTTCAAAGCCGAAACCATGACCATGCCTCACAATAGCCAAACAATAAATGTGTACAGGTAATCGATAAATCATCAATTATCAAATTTTGGTGCCCAAAAGACAAAAAGTCGGATGTCCACTACCAAACCGTATCAATCCGTCAATGCTAAGTGCGTCTTCATCGCCCCGGCGTATATTCCTTTCTATTGCCATAAAATGATTGGTGTCATACCCCATTACCCTCCGGTGGTCTCGCATACCTATGAACAATTGCCTATTTTGTTCGATGGTTTACTTGTTAAACATTGGTGATATTCCATAACTATGTTAAATTACAAGAGGCTAATTCCCATATGTTCAAATCATCAGAAAAGGGAGTGAATTATCAAACATGGTGGTTTGACCACCAAAAATATTGGTTTCTTTATCAAAAGAGGGGATTTCACCATCAAACATAAGGATTCATTTTTTGTTTAATCATCAAAGATGATAACGGCTATCGGATTTAACGATATATTTAACCATCAAACATAGGGATTTGACTACTTACTTGTGCTAAACGTAGAGAATTTTCGGGAATGATCCACAATAACTATCAATAATCATCCCAGCAAACCCCAAGCCATCGATTCCCAGCCATTCCCTACGTAAAACGCACCAGTAAAACTATCATCTCAACAAAACCAAACCCTTCAATCCGTTAAAGGTCTCCCGGTGACCCGCACCTCAAAGTCCACCTGATTCCCCTGGCTCCTGGATAGGTTTAAAACATGGCGATGTGGGAAAAAACGACCATTTATAGATACTTACCCTCTGGTAAACTAACATAACTATGGAAAATCACCATTTTTGATGGGCAAATTCACTATTTCTATGGTCATTTTCAATAGCTATGTTAAATTACCAGAGGGTATCATAGGGAAAACATGGATTTTCATGGATTTTCCACATTGTTCATTTAGCCTGTAAACAAGCGCTCTTGAACATCTGGAGGTTTCCGAAAATGGGGGCTACCCCTAAATCATTCATTTTAATAATATGATGTTCCACTATAAACAAACCATTTGGGGGTACCACCATTTATGGAAACCCCCGTCTATCAAGTCCAGACTGGTACGGTGAAAAACTCTCGAACTTGATGAAGATCCCACAATCGACTGGTGCTTGAGCCATCATCCCACACCTAGTTGAGAAAAAAAGACACCGACCAGTTATAATCATTAATATTAAATCCTTATAATCCATCCAGTTAAGGCTAAATCCACCGTTTTGCTTGGTAGAATATGTGCAATCCTCACTTGTTTGTCAATCTCCATTTCCATCCATTTCCTATATCCATGACACCATGACTCTGGCCGTCCACCCAACCTCGACGTACTCGTTACCGTGATGTCCCTAGTCCAAGGCGACAACTGGGACTTAGATAGAAATCAATCAAGTCCCACCACAGGATCCATGGTGCTGCTATATATGGTAACATTTACCATAAATATACCCCAAATGTTAGCATATATAGCATACATGGATCCTATGGGATATTATGCGTGCATATATACATCATTTTCAGACACATCTATGATTCATTATGATTCTATGTTTATTGGTGAAATCTGGATATAACTTTGGAATACTTTGGACGGGAAACAACTAGGCTGCTTGATGGCTTTGATACCAAATCCCAGAAAAATTGATCCATGTACCCTCCGTTGGATTGAAACCATTGGACCCAGTGATTGATCTGTATCCGTCCTGGGTTGTGTCCCACCTTTGTTGCCCCTTAAACGTCCCATGTTTGTCAGTCCAAATTCCAAGAATTTGTCCAAAAATATACGGTATCCCGAAATCCATTAATCATCATTATCCCATATTATGGGTGTGTATATGTGATATATATATATATATATACATACATACATATCTAATCATATCTATACCCTCGGATAAACTAACAGTTTGCTATTGAACATTGCCATAGTGAAATAGTTGATTTACCCGAATTTATCCATATAAAAATGGTGATTCTAAAAAGAATCTAACCATAGTTATCTAAACATTTACCAGAGGCTACATCATTTTCAGACACAAATTTTACCGTAAAATCTTGGGTGACATCCGGGGGGTTGGACTTGGACCATCTACAAACATGGCCAAGCTTAGATACGCAAAAAAAAAAAACTAGATGGTTAGTAGATAATTCCATTGATACCAAAAACACGAATACTAGGATGAGTTTCTAGCCAGTCGATTGACCTAGGGAATCTTATACTTATATATGATATATAAGAGGATATTATCTTAGGATTATAATATTAATCGACTTATCTTATCCCAAAGGGAATCTATGTTCGGAGGTTTTAGTGCAGTGAAAGACCATAGACCATTTTGGGGCTTTTACTCTAGGAGTTGACCCACAAAACATTTGACCCACCGCCACAATTTTTGTCTAAGAAAGAGGCGAATAAATCCGCGGAACATATGGAAGTGTCGAACAAATAGAACCAACATATATATATATATATTATATTATATATATATATATGTTATTATATACTAGTATGTCAATAGATTTCTGATTTTGTGAACATATTGAAGAATATCGATGTAAATTTGATAGGTAAAGCTCTGGTTTTCTTCAGATGAACCCAGAGATTTCACCAAGCGTCCAGTCGGCCACCGCCACTGCGGCCTGACGATGTTTACGAAGGGAATGGGCCCATGGGCCCTCGGAGAATTTTCAGGGGCCACAGCTCCTTCCATATGTTTAAATAATATAATATCATATGATATAATAATAGTAGTAATAATAATAACAATAGCAATAACAAAAATAAAAACAATAGTAGTAACAATAACAATAATAATTATTATCATATATATATATAATTATATATATATACATTATGTGTTTAATCAGAGAAGAAAATGAACATATTGATGTAGATCCATGTTGAATCTCAAACTACCAAACACTGAAATGGATGTTTGATATGTGTGAGAATGTGGTATAAATCCCAAATAGCCATGTCATATCCTTTAACAGGGAATGATTATACACCATTTTATTTTGGGGGGGTGGGGACCCTTTTCTCCAACAACCCCAAACCTGTTCCTTGCCGATTCCATGGATTGGAGATAACACGTGTTGCAAAATACAAATCAGAGCGGGTTCAGCTACGCTGGTTACAGTGGCTTTACTGAAGTTGTCTCAAGTTTTGGAAATCCAAGATTCCGTACTTGGAAGTGCAGTTCCAGTGAACTAAGTGGATGTATTTCACCACTTCGTGGAAAACCGTTGCTTTTAGTTTACCCAAAACTAGTGGATTACCCTTAAAACAGCCAAAGAAATTGATGAACATGATCATGGAGTTTCAAAACACCTACACAAATGTCAAAATGGTACCTAGTTTCAAAGTGTTCAAACCATATTCATATGGTATCGTACCCTATTTTCATCTATTTTCAGTCAACCCATATGTTGAAATGCAGGAGTTGGATGCTCCAAGCTTGAGAGCCTGGAACAAGAGCAACACCAGACCTGGTCGGGGTCACCATTCGACGGGAAGGCAATGCACGGGGATGTGAAGCAGCATTTGCTGCTGTGTTTGGACACAAAAACAGTATGAAAGGTATATGAAAGGTATATGAAAGGTATATGAAAGGTATATGAAAGGTATATGAAAGGTATATGAAAGGTATATGAAAGGTAGATAAATGTACCAGCTAATATCAGAAAGCGTGGGATTCGAAACCCGATCTGAGGCGAATTGATGTTGCGCTTGTATCATACAAACATCACAGGATGTGGTCGGCAATGAGGACCTTTCGTGAGAAAAGGGGCTGCAGCCTTCTATGAACATCACTTCTTTGGCTGGATTGGCCAAAACACTGAAATAGCAGGAAGGTGGTGAGTTCCGGGCGAGCTTAAACCCAAAACTATGTGTGTATATATATATATGTATATATGTGTATTTATAAATATATATAGGATTATATACTAGTTCCATATGTGGTACTGTTTATATTAAATATATATGATGTGTATCTATGTATCTATGTATCTATGTATGTATGTATGTATGTATGTATGCATTTATATGATACTGTATATACTATATATAATATTATATATATACATAATACATATACATGTATATACATATATCGTTTACCTCCAGCCACAGGATGCCCCAACACCCGGCAGCGTCGTACACAAGGCATCCGGACATCTAAAGCAGACCCACGACCTTTGTGGTCAGTTGTGGTCAAGACACCAAAATGGAAGCTGGTGGATTCAGTGAAACATGAAATCTGAGATGTTTGGAATATCGCTCTGGGTGCTTATTGGAATCCAGTTTGAGGGACTGACTGAAATGTATCCACATCAATCTACCCAGTGATTCTGGGGGTTAATTGATGATCTTTAGTTCCTCATTTAGTAGGCAAATTCCTCTAGAATCTATTGCGGCCAAGTGGTTTCTTCCGCCCCTCCCACTGCTCCCACTTTGCCGCTCTTAGCTTCGGGAATGTGCATCCCACTTTCTGAGTTCCGTTTCAAAAAAAATCCTCCGGTCATCAAAAGTGGCAATGGGAATTCCCTTAAAAAAATAAGGTGTTAATCCCATAGGATCCACGGTGCTGCTATATAGATCCCATCAATATATCCCAAATGTTAGCATATATACCAGCACCATGTATCCTATGGGAATGGGATAATTATCATCATGCTGCATGTTCCATTGCCATGTTTGAATTCCGGAGAAATCCGGAGGGTACAATTGTTGAGGTTGGAGGGTATCTTTTTACGAAAACCAATGTGGAGTTCGATGGAGTTGGAGTTGGAAAACCACTGTGAACCTACGGTATATGTTTTTTTTCTTGCATGTAATTTACACCACATGAAAAAATCATGGCAGTTGAATGCCCCAATGTCCTGAAACTTGGCGACATCACCGTTTGTTCTGGTAAAAATCCACAATCTGGTTTGCAAAACCTCCTTTTTTTGTGGCATTATCCCCGTCTCAAACCACCAGCTCAGCATTGGTTCAGCCCCAGTTGATTGGAGTCAGTGATATGTTTTTATTAAGCCTTAAGAATACTCGCAACCATATATTGTTATATCATATACATATGTGTCGTGCTATACAAATGTATGTATATGTATATATGTATGTATATATATATATATATATATGAAATAGTACTACTACGAATAATTACTGCTAATGACAAAGCAAATTATGATAACACCAATCAGTAAATAATGATAACAAAAACAACACCAATAAACACGTAACATTAAAAAACAAATACTTTCTTCGAATGATCGCCACCCTGAAACACTATTCTGACATAGTTCTGACACACCATCTGGAAGTATATACATATATATATATATGTGGCACATTTATTCTGACATTCTTTCTGGCATTCTATCTGGCAGCTCACGGTTGAGGTCCGGCAGGCCCACTGATCTCTGGAGCTCGCGGTTGAGAAGGCAAAGGAGAAGGAGGACGACGAGGAGTATGATAGATCTAATATCTATTATGGTATAATATATAGTCATCCTGGATAGAATATGATGTTTTCCATAGATATTTTCACGTGTTGACAACAAATATACTAATGATATCTAATAATGATATTAGTATACAAGAATGACATATCTAACAATATCTTTTATGCCTTATCGTATAATTTACACATATATAATATATATATATATAATATTCACACTTGTAATTGGAGGTGTCCTGAAACGGGAAAATCCCTAAATCATGTTTTTTTTTTATTATTTGTAGATTTCCATTATAAACCATTCAGCAATTGGGGTACTCTCGTTTTAGGAAACCACCATACATACATATAAAGTATATATATATACATATCTTATAACTATTAGGTGTATGTTAGTCTATGCTTAATATTAACCATCTAAGTATTCGGGAATCCCATTTTGACTCATACCCATATGTAATTATATCCATATATACACTATGGATAGTGTATCAACTATCATAATCTATGATATGTGGTATACTCAAATCACTATGGATATTGTATACACTGTTATACCAGATATATGGTAGAGTAATGTATCGTATCCACAATGGAAATAGTATGGATAGTAGTATACACCAGTATACACTAATATATTTCAGAAGCCCCCATGTATATAAGTATGATATTGCCCAGTGATGGCCCAACTAACAGTTCGAAATAGGATTATAACTCCTACAACTGAATTTATCTGGTTGGTGGTTTCAACCCTCTGAAAAATATTAGTCAGTTAGGATTGTTATTCCCAATATATGGAAAAATAAAATTCATGTTCCAAACCACCAACCAGTTATATATATAAATCATTATAATCTCATTTATAACTGTTAGTTGGGCCATCACTGCAACTTTTATGTATTCAACGCTTCCACATGTCCGAAAAGCCCCTCTGAGCCCGCTGCGCCATTCTCTAGCCAGCTGCAAGCCTGGAAGGGACCAAATGGTCACATGAGGCCAGGGCTTGTTCCATGGAATTTAATGTGATAGGATTTAATAGGATTTAATGAGATTTAATTGGATTTAATGGGTCTTAATGGGATTTAAATGGATTTAATGGGTTTTAATGTGATTTATACTGTGGGGTTCAATGAAATCGAACAGAATTTCATGAGTTTTGAAAGATCAAACATAGCCGCGATATGGCTGGTATAGTTGTGTACATGCAAAATCTTCCCCACCTGTATCCTGTATAGGAAAGAGTGAAGTAGATATAGAAAAATGACCCATTTTCCCCTCCTTCTGGCCATGTACCTATAATATGTTGGAACAATGCTGAATATTGAGGTCATAACTTGGGGAATCGCCGTTAAAAATAAGAATAAAAAACATGTCTTGGGAAAGATACATCCAGTAGTCCTCATATATTTTTTGGTTTCTTGGATCCCAAAATATAGCTATCTGCATCAAAATAGTGGTATCCCATCCCCATCTGCACCAGTATCCCATCCTCATCCGTGTTCCTGTACATTCGTTGGATTTTCATGAATTTACACAAACATATCGTTGTAAATACCAATGGTTTTTACGCCCTAAGAGTGGTTCAATCCCTGTGGTTCTCATGTTTGGTAGGTTAAGTCGCGTGTATACTTGACCAGTCTATATACATGCATCCCCATTTTCAACCGTCAGGTAAGGAGATTGGTCGCCCAAAAAGGCACCATGAATTCTCCAGGAACGTGGGAGATAAACAACATAATGCATGTTATATGTGTACATATGTATATGTGTATACACATATATATATATATAATATCATGTAAATGTGTATGCATATGTGTGTACGCGTACATATGTAAAAATGTAATATATATATATATATAAAAAGGTGTGAATATATGCGTATGTTTGTATGCATGTATCTGTATATCTGTCCATATGTATGGTATCGTATGGCATGGTATGGTATGGTATGGCAATGTAATGTAATGAAATGGGTTTGACTGACACAGATTCTCCATTCCATCCCATGACTTAATGGCCTGTAAACTTCTGAAATACCAATCATATATTGGGAATCTCTGGAAAAACAACGAACAAAAACAAACGAAAATCAACTACATCCCAGTTCGATGTCTCATCTCAACATTTTTTTTTCCACCTGAGCCTCCGCCTTTGGATACTGTAGTCATATACCATCCACCACCAACTCCACTAGGGCCAAGCCTCTGTAGTTGGGCAACCGGGTAGAGATGAAAAAAAAATCGCGTGGATCACGGCCGTGGCGGTCTCCGTCACGCGTGGATCACGTCACTTGAGCCTCCGTCAAGCTGAGGTCCTGTCATGATGAGAATCCTGGGGATCTTCACATTGGGGCCGTAATCCCAATGAAACCAGTCATTATAACACCCCAAAAAAACCTCCAGCACAAGGATGCACTTAGCAGTGCGAAAATCTTATATTTGCCGGGAAACGGTGATATACAAATCGAAAGCAATTCTTTCCCATTGCGAGTTTTGATCACCACAAGGTACCCGGAATAGTTCTGAATAGTTACGGATTGTAACCTCCGGAGAAAAAACATGGAACCCAACTGAAACTGGGTCTGGAAAAGGAGTTTCTTACGGAAAATATAGACATGTCAAATTTGTGGGGTTCTATGTTAGTCTCTCCCGAGAGCGCCTGAGCGTAGGGTTCTTCCAAAAAAAGGAGATAATACGTTTTCATTGCATCTTCACATCTTCACATCTTACATATTCTTACATCTTCTCTCTCTCTCTCCTCTCTCTTTCTCTCTCTCTCTCTCTCTCTCTCTCTCTCGCTCTCTCTCTCTCTCTTTTCTCTTGTCTGCTAAGCTAATTTCTCTTCTCTTTTAAGGCGAGGGCGGTGGCCACGAACGATCAGAAAACGCAACCCTCTATATCCCCACTATATCCCATGTTGTTCATCATAAATCCTACTTATCTATCTTGGCCCCCCGCTCTCGTACTGCAGGACTGTTTCTTGGCCCATATCTCTTGGGGCATCGCGGCAAGGACGTCATCCTCTTTTGAGGAGACTGCGGCTCGGTGCGTCCGAGAGGAGTTTCCAATGGATGGACAATGTCTCTGGAAACTCCGGATTGATGTAATCACCCCCACGATCCAGAGAAATAGCAAGGGTATGAAATTATGAAACGGTGAAAAAATTACATAAATTTACCACAAACTTTCAATGTAAGATGTGACTTTTCTATCTCTTTGTGGTTGCCAAAAAGGAACATCTCCTAGTGGAACAGCCTCCTCGGACTTCTTCATTATCTCATTTCTGAGCAGCGTCGCTGGGCAGTTTCATTCACTGGAAACGATTGATGGTTCTCGACACCAATGGATCCACAAAAGCTGAAAATGATAAATCCAGCCGATTTTCATGGCCATTTCAGCTATCGATCCACTGGAGGTACGGTGTAAATCCATATTTTGTATGTATATCCCCTTACATAGCCATTACATAGACCTTATATATGGATATATGGTAGTTACCTCCGATTCAGGTTCCTGAAATGGGGACTGACAATTCCCTATATGATTTTGTGGGAGAATATCGCTGCGCCGAATTCCGTGAGCTTCCAGGAAATAGCATGCATTAGTTACATGACTTCTCTTCTTGCAACTCAATCAAGTTCCACTAAATTTGTTTAAAATTGTCATGGAAAATCAACAGGAAGACCATGGAACCCCCATGGATTCATGGATGTCATGCTACAAACCTTCTCCAAGTGCCAAAAGAGGCCCGGGAAAAACATCGGTGAGTCGGTCCACCGCTCCCTTTGTGCAAGTGTCCCTCCGAAGCACTGGAGGCATGTGAGTGTCAAAGAAATGAGATAATGTGTGGTTTATACATGTTCATTGTTATAACCACTGATAAACCACATTAATTATCCCATTCATGGTCAATATAATTATTTAAACAGTATAATTTGATGATATGTGTAATGGTCAAAAATATACCGTGCAACGTTTGTGGATTTGATCATCCGTCCCATGTCATGTGAATCCATACAGTTGTCCAAACATAATGGATATTAATGACCCCTCTCGAAGAAAGGATGTTTATTTCCATCACCCAATATTTTAACCATTATTTAAACAGTAAACAAATAATTTAACCATAATTAAACCCGGTATAATGGTTTTTATATACAGTATAAAAAACAATCTTTTGATCATGGCACAGCATCGACCATCGGCACATATGGTATTCAACCACCATTTTGAAACTGTCGCTGGACTAGAGCCCCAAAAAATGGCTGGGAATGTGTGGTCACATGGAGGTTTCGAAATCCTGCACCAGTTGATAGATGGTTTATCCGTTTATCCCATTATTCATTGGGTTTCAAACCATCCAAGGTGGTGCAGGATTTCTTCCATCCACAGTAGGTCTCAATACTAAAAATGGTCATCCATGACTTGGATGATTTCGGGGTATCCCCCAGTTTTCGGAAACCTCCATGTATATCGATATACCCTCTGGTAATTTAACAGTTTGCTAGTGAAAATGACCATAGAAATAGTGGATTTTCCCATTAAAAATGGTGATTTTGAATAGCAAACTGTTAAATTACCAGAGGGTACATATTATCTTGCCACCTTGATTTCCAATATCCACAACCGCTGCTCGCCCGGTCAACCGGCCAATCACTGCTGGTCAAACCTCGAATCCGGGGGAAAGCCAGTGGCAGCCAATGGATCTCTAGAACCATTGTCCCATCTACAGAGCCTGGCACTGGATCTACAGAGCTTCAAGTGGAAAATCATGGAAAATCATCTCCACAAAATGTGTATCTCGATAAATTTCATCAGAATTCACCCGAAAAATGGTGCTTCTGGGGCGCAGTTACCCCAATCCAATTCCCATCATTCCAGTGACGGAGAACGACGCGAGGTGATCGAACAACAAAAGCTATCACTGAGTCAGTGCGATCAGCAACTGTAAGATGTTATCCCAAAAATGGTCAATAAGATACAGGATCTGTATTACGCAGATACCCATGGTTTTGAAGCGGTTTTGAAGTTTTTGCCGCAAAAATCACTACCACATGGAGCCTTGTCTTGCATTAAATCTGGACCCAGCAAGTCCATCTTAACCTTCCAATCGTGGATATGGGTTTGTCTGAAAACAAGGTGCCGCAACATTTGGTCGTTGATTGTCATGTTTCCATTAAAATTACACGTTTGGGGTATCCGGCGTTTCCGGACAAAGCCAGTTATATATGTATATATAGTCATATCATGTGTCTGGTTACATATTCCATGACACCCTGGATATGGTCTTTATCTTTATACACCTCTATCACATGAAAAATATTGAAAAATCCCATGTCTTCATTCACATGCCAAGCTTCCATTAGATCACCATTTCAAATTCTTCACTTGGCGCGGGATGATCATCCCATCTTATCCGTGGCAAAAATCCACCTTCGGTTTTTGTGGAGCGCACTATCCATGGCTTAATTTGTGGTTATGACATGTTAAAAAACCCTCTGGTAATGACTAACAGTTTGCTATTGAAAATGACAAAACATTATGACATATTATGACCATTGTTTTTGTTGATTTCCCTTTGAAGAATGGTGATTTTGACCATGTTTTTAATACGTTTACCATGTTTACCAGAGGCTATACCTTATGGATCCTGGTAGATCCACCAGGATCCTCCAGGTATCCATCCAGGAGACCGCCACTGTTCCAGAGTTGCACACGCTGCAGCCAACAAGGAGACCGCCTGCGGACAGAAGTGGTGATATGAACCATGGGGATATCATGACATGGAAATATAGGAGGAATATGGCATATATATATATATATATATACCCTCTGGTAATTTAACATAGCTATTGAAAATGACCATTTATAGTGGATTTACCCATTGAAAATGGTGATTTTCAATAGCTATGTTAAATTACCAGAGGGTATATACACGGAAATATCA